CAAGCCATTTGTATTTCTCTATCTTGGATTGCCTGTAATGGGTAATGGGTTCGTCAAATACTGGTGAACCATCCACCGCCGGATTCAATTTTACCAGGTACATAACGTGCGGTGATGAGGTGCCGTGGGGTAGAGTTTCACTGTCTTCAATCCAGTCGGTGCCGTTTGCGCTGATCCAAGAGAGGTCCACTGTGCTGCAACCCAACCTGGATATGTAAGTGTATCCTGCTGGGGAGTCTGATCTAGTTCTGCCATTTACTAATACAAACCCTAGCGATTCAAGCTCGTTGACTAGTAGTTTGCCTCTTCTATTTCCTTTTTTGGAGTCTAGAGTCGTTCTGGATGCTGTGAGGCTTGGACCTAGTGGTAGCTTGTCCTCCAACTGGTTTAAATCGCCTACACGGGCGTTCAGGTCGCCCATCAGCATTATTGGGGTGTTGGGACTGCTACGCAGGGTGTTGTTGAGGTGGTCAGCTAGTTTCGACACCGCCTCAGAGTCCTGCAGACGAGGACTGAGAGTGTGAATGAAAATGAAGCTTGCGTTGTTTATATTTGCTTCAACAGTTATCCACCAATCGTTTTTGAACAAAATTTTACCTGGTTCCATTTTTGAGTCATTTTTTATAAAAAAAAACGAGGAGCCCACCGCTTCCTCTACCCTTGTCCGCTTCTCTGATTGCTGGGGCTTGGTACAGGGTGTAGTCGTTCCAATATGCAGGACCCTTGTCCAATACATCTCTCTTCCAAGTTTCGCTGATTCCTATAATTTGGCAGGAGAGTAATGTTTTCTTTATGTTTCTGTCTAATGAATAAAAATTTTCCATACCCTCTACGTTCCAATATAAGAGGTTGATGCTTTGGTTGAGTCCCCTCTCCTTTCTCCCGATTTTGGGGGTCCGTGAGGTCGATAAAGGGTTGTGCAAACGGGAACGGTGGGTGGTACACAATGGCGGGTGAGGGGCGGGTATTTTGCCTACAAGACGATGTAGAGAGGGATGGGATTGAGGAAGGTGAACATCAGTCTGTCTTGGGTGATGAACTGAGGAATTGGAGCATGTGGGATTGAATAGGACCAGTCTGTTTTTGGGATTGTTGTTGTGAGGTTTGAGTGAGAGGTTTTGGTTTGGGTATAGTGGGTGAATTCCCGAGACTTTTGAGGCGAAAGGAATGAGTGGGTTTGGAGTCAACCTTCGATTTTTTGCCTTTGGAGGTCTGTAACGCTGATGGGGTTAAAAGACTGCTAAATGCGTCTCTATGCCCGGGAAGCACGGTCTCGTTCAAATCCTCTTCTTCATCCTCCTGGTACTCGATGTCACTTCTGTCTCTCTTACGGTCCATTGAACGAATCAATTCTTCAGCTTTGGCTTTTGTGTAGGGTCTTTTGTCAATAATAATGTAGTCATCTCTCATCTGAGCATTTACGCCCCGATCTCTCAATAATTTAATTAATGGGTAGAGTGACTTCCTAATCAGAAGTACTTCTTTGCAATAATCGTTGGAAATTGAGAAGTCTGTGCCTTTCAATTTACGACATTCTGCGTAATCACTCATAAGTATTGATTAATTGTGGTATTCTAGTCACCCCTACCATAGTTTTCGAACTCCATTGATAAATAACTCATTATTTGGACTTCGAAAATCGTCGAGAGAAAATTCCATTTTTTTCTGGTACATGAAATTCCATACGGGAATTTCAAAATGTAATGACAATTGTAAACCTAATTTTTTTCGTCTACAATTATGAAAATTAAATTCAAAATTGATATTGTTGAGATTAAATCTTTAAAAATTCGAGAAATAAAATAACAAGCAAGGGACTGTGAGCATATGACAACGCGCCATGTAACAGTGAGACCTCCTCACCTCCGATCTTTTTCAAATTTAGACCATGTGTTTAGGACCCTAAAACTAGGCCCCACACATATTTTCAAGTGTCGGACACGATTCCAAAGTCATTATTATTATTGTTAAATTGAATATATGCTGTAAGGTGGCACAGTGGCGGACTGCAGGGCTGTGTTCGGGGTGGGTGGTAGGTGGGTTGCTTGGCCTAGACTACCCCTCATCCATCTTTGTGTTGTCCGATTGTCTTTTATATGTTAAAATGTGTTGTCGAGGGACCAGAGCACCGCCACCTCCACGTGGTTGGTCCCGGGTAATGCAAAGAGCGGTGAGATCGCGTGGCTCAATTTCAACCCTTTGGAATCGTTTCCGACACTTGAAAATATGTGTGGGGCCTAGTTTTAGGGTCCTAAACACATGGTCTAAATTTGAAAAAGATCGGAGGTGAGGAGGTCTTTCTTAACATTTACCCATGATTGGTTTGATAAAATCCTCTGAGTTTTAGCTTTTTTTAAGTTTCCCGTTCAAATTAGATATTCACAATGTCACTGAAAAATATAGCCCGGTGATTCGAAAACCATACTTTCGTTCAATTTTTGAAATAATTTGAACATATTACCTCACACCCTATCCCTGCGACAGAGGCACCCATATTCTACACGATGTTTAGAAGGAAATATTTAATTTTTCGATAAAATGGATTTATACAAAAAATTAAATATCTCCAAAACCACTCGACCGATTGCACCCATCTAAAATATGAAATTTTAATATTATAAGAGCTATAATCATACCATATTTCAACTTGCTATCTCCATTTTTCCTCAAGTTATTGGGTGTACAAGATTGAAAAAAAAAACAGAAAAACGGGAATATCTCTGAATTACATGGACGGGTATACATATTTGGATTAATCTACATAGTGGCCACCAAGGCAAGTATTTTGAAAAAAAATTGAAATTCTTCCAGTAGTTCATGAGATATTTAGAGATATATATTTACACAAAAGGTTGAATATCTCAAGAGCTGCTCGACCGATTGCGCCTATCCATAATACCAACCTTTTATGTTATAAACACTAGGAGCATAGAAAGTATCAACTCGCCATCTCCATTTTTTTATCAAGTTATCGTGTAAAGAAGATTTTTCATAAAAAAAAACGGAAAACGGCAATATTTTCAAATTTTGTCTGAACAGGTATATATATTTTGATTGATCTAGCGAGATAGAGACCATCGAGACGAGTATTTTGAAAAAAAAATTGAAATCGGTGGAGTATATTTTGAGACATGGAAGAAAAACAAAATTTAAAGTAGTTATTATATCTCAGGAACCACTGGACCGATCGGGCTAAAACTGCGCACCAAAGTGAAGCTTAATCATAGCTAACATGAGCTAAAATTTCAGACCTCTATCGCTAAATTTCACCGTATTTATGTTGAATTTTGTAAAAATTGATCACCAAAAATCCAAGTTGTCATACACATACATAGAGACATGACCCTAAAAACATCATTTCTTCACGTTTCATAACATTCTATAGATCATTTGCCACCAAAATTAGAAAATCAAAATATCGCTCAAATACAAGGCAACCAGTCGGAAGTAACAAGGGGTAAAGTGATAGATAAAAATCTGACATTTTGGCTCATGATTGGTATTGTTTGAGAGCACATCTGGGCGAAATTTCAGCTCAACGGGTCCAGTAGTTGTTGAGATACAACGAGTCCGAAATTATTGTTTTCTTAATATCTCGAAAATTACTGCATCAAATGAACTTTTTTTGGCGTCAAAATATTCCTCATGATAATATCTATCGAATCGGACCATAATGGGCCTAACTAACTATTGCGAGTCGCCCAGCAATTGACATTTTTTATTTTTGTGATAAAATTGACGTGCACACGATAACGCTTGAAAAAATTGAGATAGGAGGTTGAAATTTGGTAGGATTCTAGCTCTTACTATATTACAAGTTGAGATTTCAAGGGAGCGAAATCGAATGAGTAGTTTTAAAGATATTCAATTTTTTGTCTAAAACTATATTTTCCAATATCTCAAAAACTGTTCATCCGATTTCAATTTTTTCAAAATATTCATCTTGATGTCTCCTATCCAGTTATTTCAAAATATGTGTAGCCGTTCCTACAAAATTTTTGAGATACTGGCGTTTTTATGAAAGTTGCTTTGACGTTCCATTACATGAGTGAAGAATGTGGTAGAGTTCTAAAATGTTGAGGATTAGTTAGTATCATCGAGTTGCACTCCTGTGTAAAATTTCAGATTGATCGATTCAATACTTTTTGAAATAGAGCAGTTGATGTGAAGAACGTTTTTCGCATAAAATGGATGGATCAGAAAATTTAGACCAGTATTGAATCTTAAACTGACTGAGACCCAGACAATTAACAAATAGTGTATGAGTATTGAATCGATTTCGATTAAAGTTCACTCCGTAGCTGATGATAACACGCCGATGTTTGGCGAGCGGATATTGGACCGATGTTTGGTCGTGTAGCATATATTGGCAATTCTTTCACGGGCTCTATTGCCATTTTCAGTACGAGTCATCTTCTGATCAATCGTTCGGTCCAACACTACAGAAAATCAAATGCAAAATTCTTGAGGTCATGAAACGTAACGATATTACATTTCTTTCGGGATTAGAACAACTTCCTTATAAATTGGAAACTTAAAGATATTCTCGATATGTTTAAAATTTATTGAATTCAGAGTTATTCCAAATTTTCAAATAGTATCAGCTTCGAACGTAGGTCATTGCCAAGTGTTTGACCTCGAATAAAACAATTGTCGCCGAATTTAGCAATATCCATATCTTGACCCAGAGGGGCAATAAAATCTCTTTCACCTAGAATACTGAAAAAGTGGGATATAGCGATGTTATAAAAACACCTGTAAAACGCGGAATCACATTATTGTATCGATTGGCAATTTAGAGGATCATCGAAAAGATCAAAGATCAAGATCAAAGTCCGGATAATAATTGAATGAATATTTCGAATAAACTTTTCATATGAAAAGTAAAAACTACGAATTTGTTGATAATCATTTTTTCATTGTCTCTATCCTTCACTATTTTATAATCGTTCAACGAGTGAATAGATTGTGCTACTCAAGTTCTGTGGGAGGCAACAACTATGGCACTGCCCGAAAACGTTCGCCTTTACAATCCATACATGAAGACTTTAGTAGAACCTGGTGAAGAGATCGTTATATCGGGTATTTCTGGGAGATTTCCAGAGTCTGACAATTTAAATCAATTTCGCGATAATCTTATGAATAAACGTGATCTAATAACAGATGATAATCGTCGTTGGACATTAGGTGAGTGAGCAGAAATTTGTTGAATTCTATATTTTTATACTGTCAGATCTCACAATGTAAACGTGTCAGCGTGGACGAATTTTGCGAGGAACCATGTCCTTCTCTGCGGAACCGCAATCTCGGGGGTAAATATATGAGGATATACCACGTATTCTCATATTCATAGGTTAGTGTGAGGAAGGTTTCTAGTCCAAGACGAATGGGAGTTTTAGGAATAACGTAACCGACTGAGATAGTGTATCAAATTAGTCATAGCTGCACAAAGTTGGGTACGAAAGTACATAATACAAAGAAAAACTCTGCAAAGAACTGTGTAAACTGACGGAATTTCATGGCAAATTGTGTTTTTGGGCATTTTTCTGAAAATTCAGAAAAACTGTGAAGTAAAGTACTCATATTTCTTCTCAATTTCGAGAATTCTATTGAATGAATACTTGAATCGAGAGAATGATTAGTCCGGACCATAATTTTTCGACTGCTTGTCGCTCTATGCAAAGTCCACGCATGACAAATGTGAAACTTATTCTCAAATGTGGAAACCGACGTTCGCACATTCGCTAGGCTGATGCTCCCTCGGTTTGGCTCATCTCGTCCATGGCTCGGCTGTCCTGCGCCTGTCCCTGACAACATTACCCCACTCGTATCAACATTACTCCTTTTCACATTAGTAACATAATATACTATTATGTCATCGTGCTCGACAAATCGCATTTTCAATCCCGCTCCGCTCGGTTCCAACGCGGCTTTCGAAGACAGAAATATAAATGGTTTTTTTTCCATCCTAGTCCATCAAACTATCCCAAAAATTAACAAAAAGGAATTTCGAAATGCTGTTATGATAAGAATTTCATAACTGGCAAAATTACATGAAGTTTTAATTGTTTGCATAATTCTTTGCCCTTTTCTCTTTATTCCTGTTTTCTAAATTCAATTTCATAAGAAAAGGAAAAATAAGGAGATATTTGCCAAAATGGATTTCTACAAAAAATTGAATATCTCGCGAACCGCTCGGTCGATTTTGCCCATTCAAAATACCATCCATCTATGTCATAAAAGCTACAAGCATACCAAATTTCAAATCGATATTAACATTTTTTATCGAGTTATCGCGCGCACAACGTTTTTCACAAAAAAACCGATTAACGGCAATATTCCTAGACTCAGCAGTGATTGGTCTATGTATGAATGATTCAGGTTTTATGAATGATTCAGGTAGAGATCATCGAGACGAATATTTTGAAAAAAAAAAGTTGAAATCGGTGCATTTATTGAGGAGATATAGCTGAAAAACGAAATTTAAACAATTGGCAATATCTCAGGAACTACTGGACCGATTGAGCCCAAATGGAGCCACAAAGTGGGGCTTATTCATAGCTATCATCAGTAAAAATTTCAAGTTTTTATCTGCGAATTTCACCGTATTTATGTTAAAATTTCTAAAAATAAACCCCCAAAACAGCCATTCTGCACATACATACGTACAGACGCAACCTCAAAAACATCATTTTTTCACGTTTCATGACATTCTAGATCATTTGCAATGAAAATTAGAAAATCGAAAAATCGACCAAAAATAATGCTTCCCTTCGGAAGCAAAAATCGACATAACTGGGAAGGGAGTCGTGCATTTCCTGACTTAAGACACCTGTACAACGAAGGGTGGGGGGGTCCATGTTTGTATCTGCTTGTGACGAATGGGGGTGAAGGTTTAAAAATTCAAAAGCGCGTGGCGTGATACATGCATGCTCCCTCCAATTTGAATTTCAATGAACTGTTTAGATATTCGATTGACGCACGGTCAGCTGATTTCGAATTCCCGAAGTGTGAAATTGATTTGGTAAGCTATGAGTCACTCAACTCATTCTGTCAAATCCGTTCGTTAAATTATTCTCCCGTACTTGTCAATTAAATAATTGATGTGATCGTTGAAAATTTTCCTTATTCAATCATTGTTCCGTACTTTATTCTTTATAGATCACCCGGAAATCCCCCAACGAACTGGAAAAATCAATAACATTAATAAGTTCGATGCAGATTATTTCGATTACGACTTCAAACAAAGCCACACCATGGATCCCATGGGGAGAATGTTGCTGGAGCATACTTATGAAGCTATCGTTGATGCTGGAATCAACCCCAAGCAGTTGAAAGACACTAAAACTGGTGTATTCGTGGGCGCCTGCTTTTCAGAGTCTGAAATCATTTGGGTCTACCAAAAACCTCAGGTTCACATGAATTCTATTCTTTTTGCATCGTAGAATCTCTAAAAATGGAATTCATTTCCTGATGCATTTTATGAAGTTGAATTTCGAATATTTTGTGGTGAAAATATTCAATTATGTTATCTCAATATTTCTTCCGAAATTTTGAAAATTTGCTGCATAAATTAGGAGTGGTTATTAACCCTCGTTAACCCATCCAATTTTTTCACATACGTAAGCTCGACATTTGGGTCGATTGTGGCCGCGGGATATAAATCTGATTTGTAATTCGCAACAATGTTTGAAAAAATTAATGAGTGTTCATTAGAATATTATCTACAAAAATCGATTGATATAGTTTTGGAAATTAGTTCCTAATTTATTTTTAAACCGAAATGTCGATAAAAATCGCCAAAATACGCAGCGAAATTTTGAAATTCAATTTTTTTTATTCAAATTATGTAAAGCACCGACGACGGTGGCCGAATGGATCAGACGCAAGTGTGCGAAAGGTTGTGAGTTCAATTCCCCGTGGAACCGAATTTTTCAACGGAAGGCTCCGGCGAGCGGGAGGTTGCTAATAGAGGAACCGCCTGTACCGGCATGGGTTTTCTGTGGTTCCCCATGCTACTTCTATGTTCTATAGGAGTGCGAATGCGATACAGTGTAGAATCCACAGCCGCATGCATAGGGTTGGATAGACTGCCGTATGAGACCTGAAAAAGGGACTCCGAGGCCGTAAAAAAAAATTATGTAAAGCAAAAACCTTATAGTTTTTTCAATGTGGACCACATAATTCATAGAACAAAATATGAAAAACCTCAAATATTAAAAAAAAAGTATTCATTCACCCAGTAAAAAAGGACTGATTCAAGTCGACGGCAATTTGATTCAAACCGATTTTCGGTTTGATTCAAGCCGAGTGACTCAGACTACGCCAATTCGGATTCCGGGTCTAATATAAGCCGAAAAGTGGTTTATTTCAAGTAGAAATGTGTCAAGCCGACATCGGTCTGAATCAAGCTGAAAAATCGGCTTGAATCAAACCCAAAAAAGGATTGATTTTTTTTATTTATTATTATTTTTATTTATTTATTATTTTTTATTTTTCATTTTTTTTATTTATCTATTATAAAAAAAGGAGTGACTCACGCCGAAATTCTGCCTGTTTCAGGTAGTAGTTAGCGACTTGATTCAAGTCGATTTTTCGATCTGATTCAAGTTCATTTTTCAGTCTGATTCAGATCGACTTTTTTTGGGTGTTTGAATGATTTGAGAAATACCAGCTTTCAATCAGTCTTTGAAAATGCGAATTCATATGAAGATGCAAATTATCAAATGATATGATCATGATTCGAACAATATGAAGCGCTTTTAATTAAAAGTGACATCTTTTTCAACGATTTGGATCAGAAAAAAGTCAGAAACATAGAAAGAATGATTGCACTGAAATTTTCTTGTTTGACATTGGGATATTTCTCTTACGTAATACTCACCTTTGAATCATTTATGCCCACCATTAAAATGATTCATTTCTCAAGGAAATGTGAATCAACGCATCTTGGAACGATATCAGCTTTAGGACTCTTCTCAATCAACCTTTTTTCTGAGATAGGACTAAAGTCGACAACTATTCGCGATCGCAACGTAGATGTGGAAGACATCAAGTGGTCTCTAAAGTAACTACTCTTGGGGGTCAACCAATGAAATCACCCCAAGAATTATTAGTTTAGACCCCATTTGGGGGCGCTCACTTCCACGTTGCGATCGCGAATCTGCATACTCCCAGAATTCTCAACTTTTGATTCAATTATAAACTTAATTTAAATTTAATTATAAACTTTTAATTTACCTACGGCACGAACAACGCAAATGTGTAGATGGGGGGTTAATAGGAAGACCTAGGCATACCTCCTTCTATCAACTGAAAAAAATCAAGAACTTTTCAAATAATTAGGGTTTGCAGATCAATATCCTCATCTTGATTGTTATGGATAGGGAGACGGCTATGGCATCCCGGGATGCTGCAGAGGTCTTCTGGCAAATCGCCTGTCCCAGTGGCTGGGCATAAAAGGACCAAGTTACACCGTCGACTCTGCCTGCAGTTCGAGTCTTCTTGCCATGGAGCATGCATATAGAGCAATCAGTACTGGTGTATGTGATAATGCTCTCGTTGCTGGTGCCAATCTCTGTCTTCAACCTATAGTGTCATTTCAGTTCGCACGTTTAGGTGAATTGAAGTTGAATTACTGTTAAATTCGGATGTAGCGAGAAAATGATTATTAAAATCCGAGAAATTATGTTTTTTTTAGGTGTCTTGTCACGTGATGGTCGATCGAAAGCATTTGATAACAGTGCAAACGGTTATGCAAGGGCTGAGACAATCAGTGTAGTTTTTCTTCAGAAAGCCAAAAATGCGAAAAGGATCTATGCGACAGTCGTCCATGGGAAATCCAACTGCGACGGATTCAAACCTCAAGGAATCACATTCCCATCAAGTGATATTCAGGGTGTACTTTTGAAAGAGTTTTATGAAGAGTGTAAGGTACCAACATCTTCATTAGCATACGTTGAAGCACACGGTACTGGAACAACTGTCGGCGACCCCGAAGAGCTGGATGCAATAGAAGCGGTCTTCTGCCCCGGAAGAGAAGAGCCACTGATGATTGGCTCCGTCAAATCGAACATTGGGCATGCTGAGCCAGCGAGTGGAATGGGTCAAATTGCTAAAGTTGTTATTGCCTATGAAACTGGTGTCATTCCACCAAATTTGCACTACAAAACGCCACGTGAGGGGGTCAAAGGTCTTATAGATGGAAAAATGAAAGTTGTAACTGAACCAACACCATGGAATGGTGGCTATGTTGGTATCAGTTCGTTTGGCTTTGGTGGTGGTAATGCTCATATCCTTCTCAAGTCCAATCCTAAGAAGAAGATCAATAGTGGAGCACCTCAGGATGAGCTTCCCAGACTCGTTGTTGCTTCCGGTAGGACTGAGGAGGCTGTTGATTCTATCTTATCAGATGTAAGTACACTGTTAGAAAAAAATGGAGTTTCCTAGGGAATTTAGTAGCGATTTTCAGAAGAGCGATATAAAATTCAATCTTGGGGGAAAACAAGCAGGGGTTCGAGCTTTTTTGGTACAAGCCAACTGACCGTTCCTCTATGTGTTATAACTCTTTTTCTTTCTTCATTTCTACCAATTTCATTGGTACTAAGCTTCCGAATGGATGTGTACCAATTCTATTTAAAAAAATGAAAACACCAATTCCGCTCAGATTAGATATCAACAATGTCACCAAAAAAAAGCTACCTGCTGATTCGAAAATATATATCTTTTTCGTCCCGGCGGGTGCACAGTCAGCAATCTGACTTTGCGTCTAAGCTGAGGCGAAAAATACGGTTCTAACCGTGGGAGGTAAAATGAAGGACCCTTACCCACGTGCTTGCCACCCTCGCACTTCGGCTCGGTAATTCCGCAAGTGGGCACGACTCTGTAAATACCGATATATGGTTTGAAGGAAAAAATTCTTCTCAAGCAAATTGCCATATTCCTCAACATTGGATCACCCATTTCGTGTTAATTGGTGACCCACATTTGGACTCTTAAAACGAATGACCCTTCAAACATTTCAATTTTTGAACAAATCTGATCCTTGAAACTTAATTTTGACCTTCTAAAATGAAGAATTAAATTTCGGTTTTATGCAGCGGCATAACATCTTATGTTTTTCAGGGGTTTATAACTCCATGTGTAGATGTATTTATTTACTTTAAAATTGTAGAGGTCTCCATGGGTTCATAATTGTTTGTCAAACTGGTCCATCTAGGTGCGACTGGTTTCATTGAATATAGAAACAATAGTAACATATTTGTTCCTCATGCAAGGATTTTATAACAGACTTCCTTTTAAATAAAACTGATTTGGTGTGATTTTTCTGACCGATTGACCGTGCCTGATAGACGATATGATGCATGGTGTACATTCAAAACTTTGGTGAACGCATTTAATGATAGTTGCAAATTATCGTCTGAAAGGACGTTCTACGAAAAGATGTTCATGATTCTCTAAACATTGGAACGTTTAACTTGAGATTTTCTGAATAGTGATACTCAACACACTTAAAAAAACGTTGGAAGAAAATTGAAATAATGCGTCTGTTTGGCTTGATCAAAACGTCCTTTTTAATCAGAGTATCACATGAAGGACAATCTAAATGAGTAGAATAGCTCTATATCCTCTCTTGAAGATTTTTTCACACAAACTGGTGACATTTACGGCAGAGTTTAGAATAGTATATTTCTAACCTAGGGTGCCGAGTGCGAGGGTGGTAAGCACGTGGGTAAGGGTGCTTTAATTTACCTCCCATGGTTACAACCGTATTTTTCGCCTTGTCGTGGGCGCCAAGTCAAATTTCCAGTTCTTATGAAACAAGATTCTTTGAAATTTCAGTGAAACTATCACTTGATGAAATTATCCAAAAATATTAGCCATGTACATATTTACACTTCTACAAATAGCCATAAATGAATAAATGAATGGACTGTTGGTTACCCTGCTTGTTCTCTTCGCGCCCACAGTTTACGATTTGAGTGCGCTAAAGTGCAAACCATTGGGTTTCACACCAATGACTTCCCGAATGAATGAGAAATGACAGGACACCATAGTCTGATATCATTGTCTAGAACTTCTTCTTTCGATGGCGATTATGGGGACTCCAAACTATAGAGATATAATGCTTACCTTGTAATAACTTTCCTGGCAGCAAGCTGAAAATCCCCCTTTTTTCAAAATGAAAATGGCTTTAATTGAATTCAGGTTGAAAGTCGCCCAGTAGACGTAGAATATATCCGCCTGCTTCATGATCTCCACGTAGATAATTTCCCGGGCCACTCCTATCGAGGCTATACGATCGCGGGTATCACAAACGCCACGAAGAAACTGCGAGAAATCGAACGCTACTTAGGAGCCAAGCGACCAGTCTGCTTCGTCTTCTCAGGAATGGGTTGTCAGTGGCCAGAAATGGGGACCACTCTCCTTCACTTTCCAGTCTTCGCAAATGCCATGAAGAAATGTGATATAGCTCTCAGGCCGTTTGGTGTGGATATCTACGATATTCTGACCAATCCCGATGAATCGATCTTCGCGAAATCCTCAAATTCAATGGTTGGACTAACTGCAATTCAAATTGGTTTAGTCGATCTCCTAACATCCTTAGGAATAGCCCCTGATTTAATTATTGGACATTCGCTCGGAGAACTGGGATGTGCATACGCAGATGGCTCTTTGACACCAGAGCAAACGGTTCTGGCAGCATATTCATTTGGTCTTGTTTTATCAGATCTCAATAAAATTAAATGTTCAATGGCTACAGTCAACCTCAGTTCAAAAGATCTCGAAAAACTCTGCCCACCAGAAATCGAAGTAGTCTGGCATAATAGCCATGAAAGCTCAAGCATAAGTGGTCCAAGAGAATCAATGAAATCTTTCTTAACTAGACTCACAGCGGCAAACATTTCTGTTCAAGAAATTTCGTGCGGTACAGTTGCTCATCACAACAGATACATGGCGGATATTGGACCCAAGCTCTTTGCACTGCTCAAGGAAGTGATCCCAGAGCCTAAACCCAGGAGTTCTAAATGGCTCAGTACATCTGTACCTGAATCTCAGTGGAACTCACCTCAGGCAAAACTGTCCTCGGCTGAATATCAAACCAACAATTTTCTGTCGCCTGTCCGTTTCGCAGAGACATGTGCACTCATTCCCAAAGATGCTGTTATGATTGAAATTGCGGCCTCTGGACTTCTCCAAAATATTCTAAAGGAATCTCTCAATCCTGAAGGGGTCAATATTCCTCTCATGCAAAGTCACCATGAGGACAATATTGAAGTCTTTCTTCAGGCTATTGGAAAACTTTATGAAGTTGGTTTACAGCCGATAATCAGCAATTTGTATCCTGAGGTCAAGTTTCCAGTTTCTAGGGGAACTCCCATGATATCTCCTCTCATCAAGTGGGATCACTCTGAAGACTGGTATGTACTGTCCTACCACCAGCAGAATAGAATCACCTCTGGAGAGCGAATGATCGAGGTGTCACTTAATGATGAACTCTACGATTATATGGATGGACATATCATTGATGGGAGGAATCTTTTGCCTGCTACCGGGTACTTAGCACTCATTTGGGAGAGTGTGGCACTGCGGAGAGGGCTTCTGTGTACAGAGGTACCAATTGTTTTTGAGAATGTTAATTTCTTGAGAGCTACTACACTTTCGAAAGAACCGGTGAAGATTATTCTTATGCTCCAAAAAGGTACGATCATTATTTCAAATATTTTTCTTGTAATTCAGGTTAATCATCCAGAGTTCGAGCGAATATCAGTTCTTTGATAGTAGTTATCAAACGAATACGATTCGATTATAATAGCGTGAATATCGGAGTTTCATGAGGTGTCATTGATTTTATTGCTATTATACAAGGTATCCCAAAACTTCAACGAAATTTTTTGCCGCTAGTTCAGAGGGATTATTTTGGAAACGAAAAGGCTAATGAACACGTTTCAGAATCAACCTCTCTCTAAAAATCCCCCTCTTTCCACTCAGTTGAGACGAAGGAATGTAAATGATAGCAATCGTTAGAAGAACCACGGTGGAATTTCACAACGGCGTAAGATCCACTCCCTATCTAAATACGATCAGACCCTGAGGGTTAATGCCCATAGAACAGAGTCAACACAGAGACGCATTCCTGTACACAAATCAGAGTCGAGCAAGTAAAATTGGCGGGAAAATTTTGCGATCTAATTGGTTGTAGGGATCCGTCTCCGTGCGGATTCTGTTCCATGGGCAGTCACTCTGAAATTTCGAGACTAGGTAATAAATTCATATCTCCTCCCTCATTTGATGTTGAAGAATGAAGTTTAGACACAATTGATTAGACATTCAATGATTTCATTCCTCGATCTACAATACAGAGGAAGATATGATTTCTTTGTTGGGGCAAAGTGTTTGATCAGTTACACTTTGTTCATGGATAACAGATTAACGAAGTGTCGGAGACAAAAATTTCATTCGTCCGACTTACCTCTATTCCCAAACATATATTTAGATAGTAGTTTTGGAACACCCGGTATAATTTTCTGAAGACGAGGAACGTCGCTTTCCTCCAACTAGAGTATTTCTGTTAAAATAATTACAGCATGTAGTTCAGTCACTGCACAGTACCCAGATTGTACATAGTACCCATTCATTTTTACTAATTGCAGGAACTGGGAGATTCGAAGTAATAGAGGGTGGTGTAGCAGTGGTAACTGGAGTTGTTCGTGACACAGCAAATGCCCAATCAGAACAGATAAAGTTCTCAATTCCGAACGATGATCGGCCTGAAGAAATTACCACGAAAGACGTATACAAGGAATTTAGATTACGTGGATATCAGTACTCTGGGGTATTCAGAGCTATTGAAAGCGCTACTACGGACGGCACGAAGGGGACAATTCGTTGGAATGCCAATTGGGTAGCTTTCATGGACAACATGCTGCAGATGAGTCTCTTGGGGCTTGATTATAGGGGTCTCTTTGTACCTACGAGAATTCAGAAACTGGTGATTGATACTAAAGAACATTCTCGGTTAATTCGGGATATGCCATCCGACAAACAAGGTAACCAGATTATCGGAGAATGATTTTCCTGAAAACGACATAAATTTAATTTTTTTTTTCTCGCATAGAATTCAAAGTTTACGTCTGCAAAAAAAATGACTTAATTGTTTCTGGGGGAATTCAAATACGTGGATTGCACGCGAGTCCAATATCACGAAGGAAGCCAGCAGGGGAGCCCGTTCTAGAGACTTATGAATTTGTCGCTCACAAAGATCATGCAGAAATCACCCTCAAAGAAGCTATTCACTTGGCAATCCATCTCGCCCTTGAGAACCACACCAGCATCAAAGTAAAAACGTTAGAGTCCCTGGAAACGGGGAAGAAGTATCCTCCTGACGAGCTTATCTCTTTTCACATAGCACAGACTCTAGCAGACCTGCCGATGATCCAAGCAGAAGTGAATTTAGTGACACCAGAAAATCCATTTGAAGAAGAAAAATTAGCCGAAAACCTCCAAATCATAGAGCCCAAGAAATTGAGTCCGGAAACCAATGCTCTGTTGTTAGCTGGTCGCGATCTTCTGGCGGCTCAAAAAAGTGGAACGTTGAGCCACCTCCTATCAGCCTTGAGAGATGGCGCTTTTATTCTTACGCTTGAGTCCTCACCTCCAGAAGACGTTGAACTATCAACCAAGAAACACGGGCTCCATATTGTTTTTGAAAAATTCATTGATGGCTCTCGATTCTTGCTTCTTCGAAAAATCGATAAACCACCGAAGAATACGATCATTATTCAGGTGAACAATGAAGAGTTTACCTGGATTGACAGGCTAAAAACAGCGCAGAAGACAGAATCTGAGTGTAAAATCGCAGGATCATCAAGAATTTTCCTGATAAGTGATAAAACATTCGAAAATGGCCTTTTGGGTCTTGTTAATTGTCTTCGAAGGGAGTCTGGTGGGGAGATAATTCGAGGGGTATTAATTCAAGATCCACAAGCTCCAGACTTCTCACTTTTGGAACCTCTGTATGCGGACCAATTGATACTAGATCTTGCAGTAAATGTCTTGAGACCAGAATCCACCTGGGGATCATACAGACATTTTCCTCTTCCGCCCCTCACACAACGACCGGTTCATCATGCGTGGGCAAATCAACTGGTAAAAGGCGATCTTACTTCATTTCGGTGGATGGAAGGACCAATTGCGCCAGACTCCAAAGATTCAAACTTCGTTAGAGTGGTTTACTCATCAATAAACTTTAAGGACATCATGCTGGCTACTGGGAAACTTACTGCAGAAATTTTTGCCAAGTCTAGGATAGAAACGGAGAGCCTTATTGGATTTGAGTATGCTGGCATCACGGCGAGTGGTTCGAGAATTATGGGTATCTCGAGTTTTCCTGCTATAACAAATATTCGAACTCACGATTCAAAGGTTACCTGGCCTGTACCCGATTCTTGGACTCTGGAAGAGGCAGCTACCGTACCATGTGTATATGCTACGTGTTGTTATGCTCTTTATATACGTGGGAAAATTGAGCAAGGAAATAAAATTTTAATTCATGCTGGATCTGGTGGCATTGGACAGGCAGCTATTATTCTTGCTCTTTGGACTGGATGTGAAATTTTTACGACTGTTGGTACTCCGGAGAAGAGATCATTCATTCGGAAGACATTCCCCCAGATCCCTGATGATCATATTGGTAATTCTAGAGACACCAGTTTTGAACAGTGGATAATGGATAAGACTCATGGGAAGGGAGTTGATATTGTGCTCAATTCACTTGCTGATGATAAACTTCAGGCTTCAATTAGGTGTCTAGCTGAGGGGGGAAAGTTTTTGGAGATTGGGAAATTTGATATGGTTAACAATAGTTCTCTAGGAATTTCTGCTTTTTCGAACGGAATTAGTTTCTATGCAATATTGGTGGATAAAATGTTCCATAGTTCAGAGGAGACAAGAGATGAACTACATGGACTGATGCTGAGGTTGCTCGATGTGGGTGCTATCAAGCCACTCAATTTTACTATCTTCTCCAGGGATGAAATTGAACCTGCCTTCAGGTACATGGCTTCTGGAAAACATATTGGAAAGGTGGGTGGGAAATATATTCCTAGTCTAGGCACCTGAAATGAGACATGCGAGTAAAGACTCTTCTTTTAAGCTCTTGCCGTTAGGACGAAATATATTCCACCATCGCGAAGGTGGAAAGGCGGTTTTCACTCTTCAATTAACAATGAGTTTTTCCACATGAACTATTAGTTTTCGCGTACATGCAATATAAAGAAAATATATCAAGGTCCTCACTTTAATAACCCATGACGTTTAAGAGTGTTTTTCGTCACTAGGCCGAATGGAACTCTTCTAGCGAATATGGACTTGAACCTCGCCTTCAGCTCAGCTTGAATCATATAAGCTTCAAATTTTTTTCAGCAATGTGACGAACATTCCCCTACGCGTCCGTGAATCCCTGCATTCGTTTTCACATGACAAAAACACGTAGTAGCCTAACCTTATTAGCGACAGTGGTCGAATTGGTTAAAACGCCACCGGGCTGTACGAGGGACTCTTGATGCGCGGTTTCGAGTCCAGCTTCGAGCGCGAAGTTTTAACCCTCAATACGAAGAAAAAAATCGGAGAAAAATTCGTGTGCTGAGCCCCAGAAATGAGGCACAACTGACTTAGACTGGAGTTATTCTAGAGGAGCACCGGAAAAATTCTAAATCTAAGCGAGAATTATTCATATGCCTCCATGAATTTTTAAAAGAAACCACCAGAAAAGTTCTACGACAGCAGGGGAAAATTCTTCGGCAGTACATGAAAATTTGTAGGTGTTCGTATTTTCTCGTTGATTTCTGCATTTGATATAAGAGAGCTTAAGAAATTTTCCTATGCCAACATGGAATTTTTCCTGTGCCGCTCCAGAGTTATTCCTACACTTGTACATCCATCAATGCCTCAGCCAGGGCGAGGAGATGGACATTTTTTTTTTCAAAAGATTGCGTTATCGCTAGTTTGTACCCCTGAGGATCTTCTAAAGCTTTTCAATATTTTTAACTTAGTTTGAAAATTCTATCTGCATGCGAATTGATACCACCCCCCTCCTTCGGATCCCAAGCATCTAAAAATCGTGGAAAACAATTTTTCGCTTTCAATTTCATCGCTAATTTATACCCCTTAAAGTAATTCTCAAATCTCAATCTTCGTCGCTTTCAGATCATCTTAAAAATTCAAGATGAGAATAGTTTGGGGGCTCAAATTCCAGCTCTTCCACGCTACTACTGCCGGAACGATCGGTCCTACATAATTCTAGGAGGTCTCGGAGGTTTTGGTCTGGAACTAGCCGACTGGTTAATCCTGCGAGGTGCTAAGTACGTGATCCTCACATCCCGTTCAGGCATAAAGAATGGTTACCAATGCTTGCGAATTAAGATGTGGGAGAGTTACAATGTCAAGGTCACCGTTGTCACCGGAAAAGAGGCATCAGATCCAAAGGATTGCAAAGACATCCTTTCAATAGCATCGCAACAAGCTCCAGTGGATGCAATTTTCAATCTCGCAGTAGTCCTCAAGGATAGCCTATTCGAAAATCAAACGACGGATACATTTGCAGAGTCCTTCAAGGCCAAAGCCTGGAGTACGAGCAATCTTGACAAATTCTCTAGAAAATTGTGCCCGAAACTACGTCATTTCGTTGTATTCTCTTCGGTCTCTTGCGGACGTGGTAATGCGGGGCAAACAAACTATGGAATGTCGAACTCAGTTATGGAGAGAATTTGTGAAAGACGATCTGCTGAAGGACTTCCAGCACTCGCTATCCAATGGGGAGCCATTGGGGACGTTGGCCTTGTTGCAGACATGCAGGATAACGACAAAGAGCTTGTCATTGGAGGAACTCTTCAGCAGCGGATAACATCCTGTCTTCATGAACTCGATCGATTCCTCAATCAGAGCTCTCCAATTGTTGCAAGCATGGTAGTTGCTGAAAAAAAAGCTGGGGTTTGTGGTTCCCTCGATATTGTTGACACTGTACTTAATATCATGGGCCTCAAGGACTTAAAGTCAGTAGGGGTACATACACCACTAGCTGAACTTGGAATGGACTCGATGATGGCAGTGGAGATAAAACAAACTTTCGAGCGTGAGTTCGAGATATTTTTGACTCCTCAGGACATTCGTGACCTCAACTTTGCCAAGTTGATTGAAATGAATTCGAAGAATGCTGATCAGAAGAAAAATGATGGGAATATCACTGCAGAAGAAGTACTCATAGGAATACAACTACTAGTTAACTTGATAGGGAATAATGAAACGATAAATCAAGTGTGTTTGGAACTGCCTACCAAAGCACGGAGTGGGAGAGCAGAAGTGTTCCTGATTCCAGGACTTGAGGGTTGTGGTGATGTGTTCAAGAATTTAGCTGAAAATATTGAAACTCCTGCTACTTGTCTACAGTTCGCTAGTAAGGACACACGGTATCTTTCTATCGAGGAAATAGCTTTGAAGTTGAAGCCGGTAAGTTTGTATTCTTCTCTCACTAAACAAAAAGCATTCTCCAGGAAAGTCGTTTTGATTCCTAAGTACTGACTCTTCCCAATGCTAATGGTTTTCTATCATGTTTGTTGGTTAGCAATTCTAAACCTGCTTTCAAATAGTATGAACATTGAACTTTTTATAATTCCAGTTGAGTCGGTGAATGGAACCCTAGAAAATAACTTTAAAATGTAAAGAAAAAATATTCATCATTGATAATTGGACAATTCCACAGGAAACTGTCCGGCTATGTGGCGCGAATTTTCTCAATTTTTACTATATTGTAGTACCTTCATAAATATGAACCTGTGTAAAATTTCAGCCCTCCAACTCCATTATTGCCCAAAAACCATGCCATTTTATGATTTGCGCTTTTAATTTTCGCATCTTTTTTTTACACTTAAAAATATGTTTCGTATAAAAAAAAAGTTGAATACATTTTTTTCTAAAAAATCCTCAACTTTCGTAAACAAATAATAATGATAATAATGATTTTTTAATTTCTTTTCCCTGCAAACGGGGTTTTAGAGATGGAATTGCCCATTTTACGACGTTTCCCAAACATTTTTGCTTTTTTGCTTCCGAATGGAAGCCTTGTAATCGGTAATTTTTACGATCTTCTAATTTTGCTTGGAAATGAGGTAGAATGTCATGAAACGTGAAAATATGATATTTTTAGAAAATGTGTGTATGTCCGTATGTGTACAGATTTTTCGGAAATTTTTTATAAATCTCAACAAAACGAGCAGCGCGGCAGAAGCCATTTGGCAAATTACATACGACTGCTACTCTCCACGTATTTTTTTTCTTCCTATTTTCATTTCAACCAATTTCATTGGTAGTAGGCTTCCGAATGGATATCAATGTATGTTTTCAAAAAATAAAGGCATAGGGATTACCATTTTTTGAAAACATTGAAGCCAATCCCACTCCTACTTCATGAAAAAAATGGTATTTTTTTCTCATGAATTTTGGGTGAATTGTTCCATCTCAAGAACAATAAAATATATCGATCTAAAATTTGATATAGGAATGTTTCTCGACAATCCCAACTATAAGCTAAAGTTTCAAAAGGTTTCCCTGAAGTTTACCCATGTGATAATGCGCAAAAGTGAATTCCAACCAAAAAAATTGAAAAACGTAAATATCTCTAAATTTTTCAATGGGATGGTACACATATTTTGTTAGATCTAGATAGATAACATCAAGACGGACATTTTGAAAAATAAAATAAAATCGGATCAGTAGTTTTTAAGATATTGAGCAAAAGAGTTTCACATACAAAGTTGAATATCCCCGAAACTAATGGTGCGATTCCGTTCATCTAGAATCCCAACCATTATTATCATAAGACCTAAAATCATACCAAGTTTGAAGTTTCGATCTCAATTATTTTTTAAATTACCATGAATTTTTTTCGTCTCATAGGGAATTTGACATCCCCTAATCCGCGTGAAAGTTCGAATGAACCCCATAAAATTTTGGCTACTAATCAGTATTATCGGGTCTCACTTCTGTACAAAATTGTGGGTCGATCGATTCAGTACACCATGGCATAGAGCCATTTATCTAAAAATCGTTTTTTTCTAAAAAAAATGACACATCGTCACTTTATCGATGATTTTCGCGTCTGGATGATTAAAAAAGTCATTCAACATTAAATTATGCTCATTTCTATTTTATATCATATTGTTAAATATTAGTCGGTTTCATAATAAATGAATGTTTACTAAAGATTTCGTGGCGAAAAAGATTATAAAATGAAATACAAAAAGGCGTGACGCGTCCGCAGAATAGGATTAAAGATAAAGGAATAACAGTTTTTGCAATGCTAATTAATCTCAACTACCTTTTATGATTGATACTATTGAATAAAACATTCCAAAAAAAGAATAATATCCATCAGATAAAGTCGGGAAGTTGAACAGGAATTACCAATTCTCATTTTTTAAATTAGAACTGTTACGGATCCATTCGGAAGCTTATTGCCAATGGAATTGGTAGAAAAAAAAGACTAATAACACATGAAGAAACAGTTACATAGCTTCTGCTGAATAGGAGTTCTACCCTGCTTGTTTTTTCTTTGTTTTATGTCGAAAACTGAAACTTTTTAACAAAAAAAAAAACGTACAAAAGGACGGACTCTCAATAAGATCAACCTCATAAAAAAAAGTCGAGAAAAAAATGTCATTTTGGGGTATTACTCCCTACAAGCACGTATGAAAAAATTTAATAGAAAAACCTATTGAATTCGCTAGACAATTCTATTGGATTTCTATTGAACTTTGTATTATTGTTTGGCCGATTCTATTGGAATGTTCAGTAGAAAATATGCTATAGAAAAAGTCAATAGAATTCGATTTTTCTATAGAACTTATTCTATTGAGATATTTTCAGCTATAATATCCCAAGACCTTCAAAATTATCGGATATTTCCCAAATGTTTTGTTGCATAGCAACGAGAGGAATCAGCTTTGCAGATTAAAAACATCAGCTATGCAGGAAAACTTGAGGGAAATATCCGATGAATTTTGAAGGTCGAGGGGTATTCGGAGGACAATTTCTTCAATTCTGATTTTGGCCGATCAGGGTGCAGTGTTCGGGGTTACGGGATACATTTCACCAAAATGTGAGAAATATCTGTCAAATTCTCAGAAAACAATTGACAGACTACAGGGAAATTATCAGTCTGATAATTTCCCTGCAGCCGGGGGAATTATTAGTGTGAAACGCATCACGTGACCCCGAATACTGCACTCTGATTGGTCAAAATCAGAATTGAAGAAATTGTTTATAAAATTTCGTTGCCTCAAATTTTGCAAGGGTTTTGGTTTAATTTTCTTCATGAAAAGAAAAGAAAATGAAAAAACTTAGAAAATTTGAGCCGAGGAAATTTCATAGGAAATATCTCGATAGAAAAATTTGTATAGAAATTCTATCGACTTTTTCTATAAAATATTTTCTATTGTACATTTCAATGGAATGGACCAAAAACTAATAGAAAATTCAATAGAAATCCAATAGAATTGTCTAGCGAATTCGCTAGGTTTTTCTATTGAATTTTTTCGTTCGTGAGGCGTGAACCCTTATCCAATTAGGGTATTTCTTAAGATTTTGTGAAATCTATGTGGTATATATGATGAATCAATTTTTTCCGTTTTCGTATCTACAATTGTTGATTTTCGATAGTTTGCTTCACCTCATCCCATTGAGAGCGCGTCCTTTTGAATGTCATTTTTCGCTGAAAAATCTCAAAAACGCTTGGCAAACGCCGTAAAATGAGCGATTTCATTCTTAAAATAACTTTTTTAGATAGAAGAAGTTGAAAAATTACTATTATTTTTTTTAAGGGCCAGCCCTATTATCTGCCCAACGTTATCTGAATCGATATTTTTGTTCCATTTTTATCTCGAAATTTCAACTCGATGCCCCATCCCTCAGGGACACCCGAATATTCTGCATTTGGATTTTAAAAAAAGTAAAAAAACTGCTGAACATTTTGAAAGAGCGTTTTTAATTAATATTGAGAAATGATTTCAATAGAGGAGATAGGAATAATGTATAATTACCGTGGCAAATGGTGGCCTGTCACTCGTCACCATGAAGGAAGAAAGACGAAATAATAAATCCTTTGGTATACCGCAATAAGATGATTGTACGAAAAAAGGCTCTTTAACAAAATTTGTAATATTTTGAAGAATTTTTTGATCAACCTTTTACGAAGAATTACTAATCACTTACGCCAATCTCGTTCATTGATAATTGGACTGGCGATCAGCTGTCTCTTTTGCCGGGAATTGAAAACAGAAAAATCGCAGTTTCTTCCATCATTTGCGTCCCCGACAAAAGCGACAGTTGATAGACAGTACAATTTTCACTTGAGGAGATTGGTGTAAGTGATTAATAGATCCTCGTAAAAGTGTAGTAAAACAATTCTTAAAAATATTGCAAAATTTTTCAAAGAACCTTTTTTCGTACAATCGTCTGGTTGCGCGTTATCATTTCATCGACGGGGCATCGATTTAAAATTTCGACATAGAAATCGAATAAAAGAGCAATCTAGATAACGTTCGGCAGCTAATAGACGGGCCTTTTCGTTCGGAATTAAAAAAAAAAGATATATTGAACATTTTTTTATACAAAGCATATTGTTAAGGGGAAAGGAAATTGAAATATTAGAAACACAGATCTCGAAATGGCATACTTCTCGGGCAATAATCGAGTTAGAGGACTGAACTATGACGCAGGGTCATATTTAATGAGGTACTAAAACCTATTAAAAATTCAGAAAAATCGAAAACATGGCGTTAAATGACTGAATGGTTTTCTGTGGAATTGCCCAATACGGTATCGACAGCTCCTAATAACACAAGGGCTTTTGAAATTTATTTTTAGAACAAGGATATCCCCAAATTCTCAACAAGACTAAAGTATCTCAGAAATTATGTGAAAATAAAACACCAGCTCATGCTGTTACTCAGAGTTGACAGAATCGTTTTATTTTGGGCTGTTCTTCCCTATTGTTGTTTCAACAATCTATCTGTTCATTTGCTTTCGTCATCAGTAATTATCAATGTTACTACATCGCACAGATTAGCTTTACTTGTTCATCCTTGATTACTACCGTTGCTATTATACTGTCCTGAAAGTAGGCACATTATATCATCTCCTTCTCATCAAGAAGGGCCAACACCCATATGAACAGTTTCACGCCAAATCCGAAACCTAAGACTTTTATGTCTGAAATTTGCTTACCAATTTTATTCTGAAAAGTTGAGCATTATGCGAACAGTTAGCAGAAAGATGAAAATTTAGAAGTCTGACAAATTCAATCCGGGTCAATGAAACGCGAGTGATGTGAAAAAAATGAATAAATCGAAACGTATAAAAACATCGTAGCTCACACGTGAGTTGTAAAGAAATTCTGAACAAAATTAAATTTAAAGGATCAATAATTACCAAACACTGCGAATGACCGACTTTAATTAACGCAGAAATATTCATGTTGTCGCTAATTTGTTATCAAAATTACAAACTTTTTACAACTTGTTTTTTTTCACATAATCACGATAATCAGTAACATCTCATTTTTAATTTTTTTTTTATTTTCTTCAAGTGTGTTGAAGTAAATTTTGATAGCTCTGAAGGGGGCTAGAATTCTAATAATAATGTTGAAACGAAATTTCATATTTTGAAAATTGGAAATTTATTAAAAATTATACCAGAATCCGCAATTCTGAATATTTTTTAATGATTTTTTTTTTTTCAAAATATTCATCCAATGCTCAACATTAACTTTTTTGGCTTCGAATTTGGTGTGGAACTGCTCTTGTAGAAATTGAATTAATTAATTAATTATCTTATTCAGCACATTGTCCAGAGAAATTTGGCTCGAAAGGACTTCATCTTCGTTGGTTACTCATTCGGATCGCTCGTTGCTATCGAGCTAGCGAGATTATTAGAGGCTGATGGTTTCACTGGTAAACTGATCCTCATCGATGGTTCTGTCGAGTGGCTGAAGGGGGTCAAAAACCAGCAAATGCCAACAAAAAATAACGATGAACTCGAAACCAATATTCTAGTTAGCATAGTTGATACTGTTGCACCCATATTCAGTGGAAAACTGTCGATGGAGTTCAAGAAGTGTAAATCTTGGGAGGAAAAATTGGATGTATTGATGGATCACTTCCCAGCGAATAATCTAGGATTGTCTGTCGAGAATCGTAGGAATATGTGCACATGTATTTACCATCGTTTTTTGGCACTGGATAATTATGACACTTCTAATTTACCACCTATTCAATCATCAATCATTCTTTTGAAGTCGACACTCAGTACTTTGAAGTCACTCCCTGAGGATTATGGACTCAGCAAGGTGACTGCATGAAGAAAACTTTTTCAAAATCATTTCGATCAATCTTGAGAATAGCAAAATATTATTTTTTTTCTCAGGTCACAAAAGGAAACGTAGAAGCCTATTCAATCGAGGGAAATCACCTAACGATACTCGACAATCCAAAAGTAGCAAGAGTAATCAATGGAAATTGTCTTAAAGTCTTACAAACGGACAAACTCAGTATCATGAAGAGTGAGAAGATAATCACACCAATATCCGAATCGAATCACGTTAAATCATTCAGTTAATTGAATGAAAAACCCGTTGGCTCACTGTCTAAATAACATGATAAAAATCATTGGCGAAGTTATTTAATCGTAATACCAAGCATTTACCTCAATTCTACCCTTCATAGTAATAGTCCTGTGTATAAGCCGTCAAATAAAAACGTTCAAATTTCTGTCATTGATACATTATTCCCTCGAAACTTTCCTCCTCTCATAAATTCGTACAGCAGTTGAACACGTGCGAATCATTAACTTCTCTCCTGAACTCTTCAAAAGAGAAAATTGGAGACGAAAACAATGAAACGAGATAATGTGTTAGCTATTATTTCCTTTAATGAAATAAAATATTCAGGTTCTTCATATTTTTTCAGCCTAACAATTAAAAAAATTAGAACATTATGCCTTCAGCCTTGTATTTAAAACGTTTAGACATTCGATAATAATACATTATATTGAAACTCTCTCAAACTTAGAAATATTCAATTATTCATCATCTTTACTATTCCGTTAATATCAAGAAGGAATACTCATTCCAATGTCTCTTATTACGATTAAATGAATTTTAATCAGTAATCAACGATCTTCGTAAAGAAGACTGATAAGACATGATCATGATCCACTCACACTTCACTCAAGATTCACTCTTAATTAAGGTCTAAGTAACAAAAAATCTTTTAGAAAAAACTTCAAAGATCCATGGGCTCTAGTTCAACGTTGTTGGACGAATAGGCTTGGTTTAAATCTGGAATTTGTTCATTGTTGTTGTCAATGTTGTTATTGTTGTCGTCCTCCTCAGCGGTGGATGTTGAAGGTTGGGCTGGAGGGTGTTGACTGAGAGGCAATCTTAGGTGTCTAGTTGGAGGCTCCCACAGTACTAAAGCCATGGAGGGCCGTTCCCTGCAATTGAAAATGTATCGTTATCTCATATCTTTGTTTCTCAGGTTCATTGCAATTCTTATTGGCCACCAAGCTATTCTATTGCACTAAAAATGTCAGACAGGTCTGTCTCAAAACTTAAGCTTGAAATTGGTGCCAGTATTTTTTCAAAGGTTATTAAGTCGATCGACTTGAAAGGGTAAAAGGAAACACGTTATCTTCCCTAAGGACTTCTTTGGGAGAGCGCAATGAGAACTAAAAAGAGAGTTTATAAAAATTGTGTTCTCTCTCTTGAACCCACAGATATTCCTGGACCAGGGTTGGATCAATAAAATACCACAGGGAATCTACCCACCTAGTTTTCGACATGTAAAAAAACAAGTAATTTATCGTACAGGTTTTGGACTTTTTTTACCGCGGGAGGAGGCATATCGTACGTCGAAGGGTCGGATGACCATGTACGGAGCGAAATAGTCACAAAGCTCCCCTATTCTGTTTCGCAAGGATCAAACACTGCAATACCTCGGGACGGTCAAATCTATCAAGGATTGTACCTTGCAAGAGTCAAACAACAGACACAGGCAGGCCCATTTCAAGGGTCTAACGACGACAGGGGTCAATCAGGAGAGGTCAATAGGACAATCACGAGAGTCCAATGATCACGAGTGTCAACCAAGAGGAACAGGCAGGAAAATCGCAAGGGTCAAACAATTATATATCCTGCGAATCCTTGCAACGTTTGGTCTTCAGAAGATATGATGATCCTTGTAAGGTTTGACCTTCGTGAGCCCTGATAGTTACGTTATGGGGTTTTTACTCAGTTATTTACTTATTTTTTGATAATTATCGGTAAATTACCACTATTTTACTATGTGCCATAGAAAACCCGGATTTCCTGTGAACGACCCAACACTGTCCTGGGCACATCAATTAGGAGCGGAGGAAGCTTCAAAGCTTATAGGTCAAATTTTCCGTAATCTCAAAATTTCAATTATTTTACTCATTATTACAATTGAATGCTAACACTTCATTTATAATTAGAATCTACTTGCTAATAAAATGAACTTGAAAACCTGACCTGGTCTCCACAGTTGGGCAGAGGAGAGGGGCACGCAACTCAGTGGAGTGTAAAATAGTCAAGTTAGTGAAGTTATTTCCGAGAAAGACGAAACATCAAATATGGTGTACCTTGGGTAATGGCAGACACCGCGCAAAGTATTTTTGTCGTTAATTTATTAAAATAAATCAACGAGAAAGTCCGATGAGACTTCGTGCCCATAGTTTTTAGGGTTTAATATCGATAAATATAGCTTCATTTGCTGGCTAGCACTTTGTCAATAGTTTGATGAGGAAATCGACTATATATTAATCGATTTAGTTTTTTTAGTTTATTTCTATTCCGACTTTTACCGTCCATAAGTACGCTATTGAAATGTTCGAATAAGGAAAAATTATACTCACAATTTTGATAAAAGTGAAGCAGGTAGAAGAGGCTCGTTCTGGAGTCTCTTGAGCTCTTCAGAGATGACCAGTCTTGGGTGCATGCTTTTACCATCTTCCAGATTCACTGGAGCGGGATCCACGTCTATTTCAACATCTGTTGTTGTACTGGTGGATGGTTGGGGAGGCGAACAAGCTGATGATGTTGATGGTACTGGAGTAGGAGAGTAATGTGAGCTTATGTGCATGTTTCTAAAGTGAGCTGCCATCTTTTCTTCTGAGATGAATTGTTTCGTTGGTCTCCTGGAAGGAGAAAAATGAATCTTCATTTGATTAATTGAATCTGTAGGGACGTAATGAGTTGAATCCAGTTCAATATAAATTTTTTGTTGTCTCTAATCAACAACTCATGATCAGAAGGTGATTATCTCAAGAAGCCTATCGACGGAATGAGAAATTTTGATACAAAGAAAAGATCAAGATTTTTTGTGGAAAAGACAATTGGCTATAATAATAATGATAATTCCATTCTTAACCCCTCACAGGCACACCTACTTTTCGACCCATGTTCACTCGCACACCTGGGTTGAGTCAACCCGCAATTTCTGTTATGATAGTTGCATGCCGTTTAATAGATGTCCTGGAAAAAGCACCTCCTAAAGATAAACCTTTAAAATATACACAGTAGTAGATTTTGTAATGTATTGAAAAACACAAAGGATAACAAATTAACATAGTTTAATATAGAACAGTTAATATAAAAGATATCGAATCGAATCAAGTTCGTATAAGACACAAAAAATCCCATGTGAGTCACAATTTAATCAATTTAATCATGTAAGGGCAAATATATTTATACTAGAATCAACAAGGGACTGCTAATAGAGATGATTCAACAGTGTAGTAGGCTCATATGTTCAAATAACAGATCGTAAAAATGAACTGTTCAATTTTTGTCGAATATCGCAGCTCCTATTTATCTGATGACATTGATTTTTATTGACACATGACAATTAATAGCTCCTGACTAAAGGAATAATTATTCGTTTCTCAAACAATAAATTAGCGGAATTTTGATTTTGAAAAAAAATGTTTTCCGACAGATTTTTTCTGGAAAATTGAATAATTGGTTTTTTCATTAACACATTCGAAGGAAATTTTATTTGATGATTCAATCACTGGGAGTAGAATTTAAGGTTCTTTCAGATGGATAATTATTTTGCAGTACCATCAATTTATTAAAAAAACAGTTAACACCGGGTTAATGTAATCCAGTGTGCATGTTAGAGGTTAATAATTCGAAGGAATTATGTGGCAATCTCTAGCAACTTTTCTGTGCGAAATGTTGACGTCCCCAAAAAATGTTCAATTACTTCTCCTAGCACTGCTACTGCATTGAAATACAATATGAAAATTGAACATTAAATTCAATTAATACGAAAACTTACGTTTCTATCACATCTGGAACATCTAGTTTTCTCTTCTGATGTACCATTGGTCCACAAGTCTGTTGTTGTCGTTCCCCAGTGAATCTGACTAACTGAGACTGTTGAAGACTTGGTACGCTCCATGGCATGTACATTGGAGGCACTTGCGGTATCTGGTCCCAACTGCCTGGCTGGTGCTGGGGATTGTGCTGGCCCATCATGTGCTGGAATATTGAAGGAGGTGTATGAAGATGCCCTCCACCGATTGTTGTTTGTACTGGAGTCGAAATCACTTGGTACTGTGTAGGAATTGCCATCGGGGCGAAAATTGAATTTTTGGCGTTTTGATCCTGTGGAAAATGGTACGTCTTTTGAAATGCTCAATTCTGAATGAATGGTCACTTTTCAACTCAATAGCTGATTGATTTATTTATTGATAGGAACTACTTTTAGTTACCAATTTTTTTATTCAACTAGTTTCACTCATCGATTATTATTTTTGGATTTTAAATGCTAAAAAAAAGTTATTTTCGAATTTTTTTAAGGATACTTAGTTATTTTTAAGACGATTGCACCTTTTGCGATTGAATGGATTTGAAAAAAGATACAACATTCTATCGTTTTTTATCTTGAATTTGTACAACTCAAAAACACTGTAATAAACCTTTCTCGAGGTTTCAACATGTTAATTCATGGAAAGAATATGCCTTGTACTAGAAATTACTAATCCTCTTCGGAAAAACGTTTTTTTCTCTTCAATTTCAGTTAGATATAAATATGATTGGACTCAATTTCTCGGACGATAAAGAAAAAAAATTCAATCAAATTACAACTAACCCTCCAATCTAAAAAAAAACCCGTTGGATAAAATTATGTTTTAGCCAAGAACTTGCACCCAGCAGCATTAATATCAATATTTTTATTAGCATATACTGCGAAAAATATATATTGCAATTTTTTTGTATGCAGTAAAAAGAATCATTCAATTGATGCGCGATGGAAATGGAAAATTGTTGGTCCAAGCAACCGGTTTGATAAGGTAGAGTAAGGTGAAATAGACACTTTTTACTTTTTTAGAAAACTCCATAACTCAGAAACAGATTTATGAATTGAGGTCAGTCTAAGCCTATCACAAAAGGGAAGAAATATTGTTTCAATTGAAAAATAAAATTATTCCATTTGATCAACAATTCAGCACGTCATGAACATTTCAAAAAAGTCAAGTGTCCGTTTTACTCTACCCTTCTGTATACCACGAAGACTCTGAAATAGCTACATTTTCCTTGTAAAATCCACTCAACCGCGACTTAACCCTGGCAAAAATATCTTCTTGAATCCTACTAATACATGAAAAGCTAATTGGAAATGGTGACGTTCTCGCAGTTAACCCATAAATTCCTGCTGAAGGTGCCGACCTCAATAGGAAATTATGGGTCAACGACAATAACACCACTATTTCCGATTACTTTCTTGTATTATCCAGAAGAATTCAAGGAGACATTTTACCAAGTGAATTCACTTAAATCTTCCTTGATACAAAATTGATAAAATAGTTGGGAAAAGCAGACGCTAACCTCTCAAGGTTTCGCTCGAGTGCAATTGAGTCAACTAATTTATGATAAAAAATGTGAAACTCAGAGATTGAAAATGGAATAAATGATTTACCGATGCAAATCTTCCAATTATTATAATTTATATCCACGAAAGTCGTCTAAGAAACAAATCGGAGGCAGAACAACACCGATGGTACTCCACTGTTCCAGAAAATACGATTTTCTTGCGGAACCTTTCTTTACGCTGTATATTCCTTTCAACGTCACAATGTCCCTCCTATTCGGGAATTTGGTAATGTAATCACAGTAAACCTAAAAAACGGGTCAGGAGAGATCGTTACTTTCACTTAGCTCAATGTTTATTCTTTTCTTTATTCTCAGGAATTTTAGAATCTCCGAAGATTTATTCGTGTTTACTTCTCGAGCCACCATATGCGAATGACAAGGGAGGGGGAACTAAAGCTTCATGCATTCGTTATGCAGGCTGATACGCATGTAACGAGATGATGAAGTCCCGGTAACAATCGAAATATAGTATTTTCGATAGTATTTTCGACACAGTGACGAAGTATATTTTTTGTCACGACGTTCATGAGCGGTTTCACGAACTAAGTGACGAAAATGCATTGAGGAAAAAAATTACATTGGCCAAGGAATTATTTTTATGCCACTCATGCCTGAAACCGGCTGGATTACACACTCGACGCTTCGCGTCTCGTGTCTAATTCAGCCGGTTTCAGGCTTGGTGACATAAAATTTTGTTCAGTACTTGTTGGGAAATTTCGTCCTTAACGTGTGTGTTTACATTACTCGCCTTCGGCTCATGCTGTAAACCCCATACACGTTAAAGACGATATTGCCCCACATGTGCTGAAATATACTATTTTAGACGAGGAATTCATTTTTTTCGGCGCGTATTTCACCCATACATTCCCAGCTGTTCCATGTTCATTGCCAAATATTAGAATATGTTAAATTGATTATGAGATGATTATGCTACATATGATCATGATTAAATGAACACCCTTCATTATTTTTCAATTTTTTAGAATTTGAGATTTTCTTACGTAAAATAATTCGGAATAATTCTAAATGTTAATAATTATCAATGGAGTTCATTTCAGGTCATATGTAGTATCATCATCGTATAATTCAATATCATTGTAATATTTGGAGATGGACTTGGACCACCTTGGAATGACTGGCCTGGAGAAATACGCTCCCAAAAAAAATTAATTCTTCTCCCAAGAAAGCGATTCTTTGGCAAAAGTAACTGTTGTGTCTCAGTGTATATATCGTAAATGTTCCAGTTAATATCATTAGAAGCGTTTTTTTTTTGTCAATGAAGGTAAAAAAATTATATTTTTTTCGTAATTCGTAATATCGTATTTGCTTCAGTTTTACGAGATTTATACGCCAATACGTTTTTTTTCTTCAATGATAAGTATCCCGAAAAGTTACCTTTTTTAAAATCATATGGCATTTTTTTAAATCATGAAAATCTCTCTGGAAATTCGACCGAAACTTTTTGAGGGGTTGGGGGGCTCAAAAACCTATTCCTCTTTTTTTAAAAAATGTTTCTGCAACTTGCGCGCGAGCTATAATATTTTTCCGGCCTACTTATTTATTTGTTTTTTTTTCAACATAACTCACTATTCATTGAACTGGATTGAATTGCACAATCTTTAAAATTTTCATATTTCCTGTAGCTTTGTTGAAGTACAGGACAAATATATTTCTCCCGATTCTTCAAATGTATAAAATGATGATGATTAAAAAAAATGTCAAACTTCATTTTCAGCAATCCCATCACGATTTTTTCCATGTTTATTCTTCCTGTAAAATCTAACAATCCAAACGCTCGTTTTCAGGACAACCAAAAAGTGGGCAAAGCTTTGGATGCCTGTTCTCACCATTTTTCAACTCGATTAAGAAGGCATTGAAATGCACTTTTTTAATTAACTAGCGTATGGGGCGCGCCTTTACCCAGAGTATGGTTGCCTATGTTTCTTTTAGTACAAAAGTATGGCTCCGAGCAAATTCATGTCCGGTTCAATTTTATCTATTTGTTCTGACCTTTTTTACTTTTCATATTTGATTTACAAAAAAAAAATTATTCTTATTATTATTACTTTTATCGTCGATTTCACACTTTTCCTTTATTTCGTGATGAGTTTTTTTTACCGTCAATTATTTAGGAATTATTTAGTCATCATTTTTTATTTAATGGTCTTCTTCTGAAGTTGATGACTTATAAAAAAAAATTAATTCAAAAATTGAAAAAAAACTAAAAAAACTTTTTTTAAAAATACATCATATAATTCCTAAAAAAAAAAAACTTACTAATCACATCCCATCAATTCCCGTCCCACGTGACGGGAACCACCACTACACCTCCATGTAGCACTCATCAAACTTATATATATATATATATATATATATATATATATATATATATATAATACATTATATATATTATATATATAATGTATTATATATATGATATATTATATTTTTCAAAAATATTAATTTTTTTTTCTCATTTTTTAAAGGGGATTGATTTTACTGATGATTCTTTCAGTAATCACTTTTCCCATAAGTACCGAATGATATTTTTCATCACAATGTGCTGAAAAAGGACGTTTATAACAAAAAATATCATTCGACATACGGCCTAAAAAAACTTTTATAGCTTATGATTACAACCCTCGCCTTCGACTCATATTCGCCTTCGGCAGCATATTATAACCACAATGGTATTGTTCAATTAAGTTAACTTAATGGCATCCAAATCAATAAATTTGTCATTGGTATTTCATAGGATTTATCAAAAAATTATGGAAAAGTATGAAGTTATCAACGCCATGTCAATCTTTAAATCTGATTATTATATTGAATATATTATACTATATTCAGCTAAATCAAAAATACTGGAAACAGTATTCAGCAATTCAATCCAACCATCCCAGTCATCGTATAATGATTATGTGCGAAAAATCACGTTGAAAATTATAGATTGGCGTAGATTATCATGATGATAGTTTCGGTGAATATATTATATTCATATATCATTGGAAGTTGAAAGCATTACAAATAAATCAAGTAACGATCGTATGATCATGTTAATAATGATTAAAGGAAAAGTACAGTGTCAGGGTTTAGCCAGATTACGGCGAAATAATTGTCGGATAAAACACCCTAAGAACAATCGATTCTTTATTCCGTTCAACAATATATTTTGTCATTCCGGCCGTAAGGCATCGTTTCACGGATGCTACGCTGCAACAATATTAGTGTGTTTCGTCATTACGCTGAAAAAAACTTTTCTGTACAGCTTCTCACGATTTCTTGTCTGGGAATTGGTATTACATACTTCCCAAACTCGAAAACTTGAAAATCACTACAGAAAAATATTGTTCCTGGGCTGTTGCGATGGGGTTTTTTTACTCGTGTGGTTGGCCAGTCCTCGCCTACGGTTCGGAGGCTAACGCCACACGAGTAAAAAACCCCATCGCAACAGGCCGGAAAAATACTATTTCTGGCGAATATGAGTTTGCAGCCGAAGCCGAAGGCGAGGGTTGCAATCATATGAGCTAGAAAAGTTTTTTTATGTTGTATGTCGAATAATATTTTTCTCGGCCTAATGACGAAATATACCATTGCGCTTCGTGTTCACATAACAATTGTATAGTCGTGACTTTGTACACGAGTCTCGCAGCGCCTTCCACGTCACTCGAGGCGTATCCCTTTCGCACTCACAAGTAATCGCATTCGCCTATCTGCTTCACTCGCTTTGTTCCAACTGCTTATCCTTCCGCTCGCTCTTGCAGTCACCGGTATTACACACCCACATGTACGTACCTATTCTTGTGCCTGTAACATTCATTACATACACAGTGATTACGGAAAGTACGCAGTGTTTTTTTTGTGTATGATGTTCAATTGCGAACATTTATCGATAGATACGGAAAAAATTATGATAAATCCATCGAGCAGAATCGCAGTATGTACCGCACTCCTCACTCGTTTTCCTTGGTACGCATCTATACAGCTGGGCCTTTCTCATCACAGGTCGGCATTGACCATTCAAAGAGTAGCATTGCTCAAATCAAACCTGGTTTCCAAGCGTGGACCAAGACTAGCCCAACTTAGGCCGAACATGGTTAATTCTTAATTTATAACACTAGTTCCAGCTCGTAGACCAAGCTCCGTCCAACCCTGATTACCAAGCTCCATGGCTTACAGCCAGACACTACTCAATTACGGTGCAAATGATTGTAAGAAATTACTTATTAACGTCTATTCCATCATTTATGCAATGATGCCTATTATTGCCTAATTACCGATTCCTAATTCAATTATCGATGAAAAAGTCGATTTTGTAATCGTTATTCAGAATCCTGATGGATCACTCGAAGGGGGGTGCGAGTTGTTCACCCAGTTGAGCCCTTGTCGATCAGAGTTCGATTAATCGACTATCGATCAACCAACGCTCGACGAACGATCGATTCGCAATCGACCAACAATTAACCATCAATCTTCGATCGACTAATCATCGACCAGCGATCGACCAATGATCGACTATCGATCGACCGGCTATCGATCGAGTGAACCAGTCGACCTCCTGTTGAGCTATCATCGATAAATCTGTCAGAGTTTACTGTGATTATGAATCCTACGCTCTATAACAACTGCAATATCGCATATTCCTGATAATTTATATTTTCCACTGTTCAAATGAATTCTATCTGGCTATTTTCTCTTCGTACATTAATTGCAATGCTATTGGTGTATTAGTAATTGGGGCTACTCTATTTGTACTTGTTGAAGTTATGATTTTGTATGTGCGCGGGATGCCGTTGGTAGGAGTGACGGGAACCATATTGGGGTGTATCTTCTTTAGGTTGGTGTAAGTGACACCTTTCTAGAGTTTCCGCTTTTTATATAAGAGTAAAGAGCACGTTGCCTTTATGTGTCGTTAATAAAATAAATCATTTAACTTTATAATAAATATATATTCATCATGATTAAGTAGTCCATTATTTCTAACAGTACTCAATTGCAACGAACTCCAATTATAAATTAATTATGAACAATGAACTTTTTTTATCATGGCATGTGAGTCTGGTGGCGCTCACTCTTCGCAACTAGATGTAATTTAGTAGAATAAAAATACGTCGATCGTCTATTATAGCTTTTGAAGTTCTCTCCGAAGAATTTTCCCTGCTGCACTTTTTGGGATTTTATCAATGAACTCGACTTGAGCAATATGCTTATGTTTGGAAAGTCGCTCTGCAACATAATTTTTTACTTCCTCCTCTGTGATTTTAATATTCGGCTGTGGCACAATGAATGCTTTTGGGACTTCCCCCAATTTTTCGTGGGGTATTCCAATTACTGCAACATCTGCAACCTTTTCATGGCCAAAAATGACGTCTTCCAGTTCAGCTGGAGCCACCTGGAAGCCCTTGATTTTGATGAGCTCCTTCGTACGCCCAGTGACGAATAATTGTCCTGAAATTAATAATTAAAGAATTATCCATGAAGAAAAACATTTGCAAATATAATGTGACACCATGTAACGTGGGTCGAAATGGCGTTCCAGGAATTTTATTTAAAACCAAGAAGAAAATTTAAGGGAAAAAAAAATTCCTTTCCGCTGCTTCCGCATACCTGCTTAAAGAGTAATTTTCAATTACTGAATATTGGCAAAAGAAAAGGTAATTTTACCTTCTAATAATTTTTCCAATTTTGATGATCTACAATTATCGAAAAGAGGGGGGTAAGATGGGCAATGAACAAGAATTGAGCATAGAAATAGCAGTGTGGCAAGCTGGACCCTTAGTCCAGTCAAACTAGCTCTGAAAATGTCGTTTACATCGAAATTAACCAAAGGGCACCAAATTACACCAATCGATAGCTAAAAGTGTTAATTAAAACACTTTTATTAATGTTTTAAAAAGTATATGCTCAAATTTGCCGGGGTGATTCACAATTTGTTATAAACAATTGGGAATTGCCGACAGGCCGTCTTCAATCCTAGATATCTTTAGTTAACCTCATCAGTTGGGGAAAAAAAAAATATTTCTTTATAGCTGAGAAAATGTCCTATCGGGGAGAGTTAGGAACCTATAGCCCAAAATGTACCGTTAATTTATTATAAATTATAATAGCATTTCGGAGCAGTCGGCGCAACGCGTCAGCTGTTACCCTCCCTGCGATAGTGCCGTGAGTCACGTGATTGGCGCCATGCGCAACTTATTCAAACCTCCTGCTGCGTTCAACGCAATAGCCCTCAGCTGGATTTTTGATGAATATCTCTGAATCTGTGGCTAGTAGTCAAATTTTCATTATAAACTTTTTTGTAGATCTTTATTTGCTCTATAAAAATGGTTTTGACAAAAATTTTGCTATTCTCCAAAGTTCCCGAGATATTCAATGAAAAATTAACAATATTCAAAATATTTAACACCTTAGCCCGCTATTCCATTTTACCCGACTGTCCATTTCATCCCGCCCTCCTCTACTTATTATTTCTTAATTGTAATCGATACCTTTGTCGTCAACATATCCTAAATCTCCTGTCTTGAACCACTCCCCATCCATACAATCTTCGGTAGCCTTCACATTTTTGTAGTATCCAGCCATCACTTGTGGTCCTTTCACAAGAATTTCCCCCAATTCGTTAGCACCCAGGTTGTTTCCAAATTTATCATTATCTCTGCTAATAATCCGGATTTGGGTATTTACAATTATTAAGCCTACAGAGTCACAAGCCGAATATTTCGATCGTGATACCGTTGGGGAGGTCTCAGTCAATCCGTAACCCTGGTTAAAATTGATTCCCATTTTCGATTGGAATTTGCTGATTAGTTCATTTCCAAGGGGGGCTGCACCACACAATACATTTTTGACATTTTCCACATGTTTTTTGTTGAATCTATCATCATTTGCCATAAGTTGAACCACTGGAGGCACTACGTACAATGCTGTCGTTTTGTTTCTCTTAAGGACATCCAGTAAATTGTTCGATGAGAATTGCGGCATGCAAATTATCTTTCCACCAATCCTGACAACAAATGAAAATTATTACTATTGATGGGACTAAAGCCTTAATTATCTGATCATTTACTTAAGATAGTTGAGAAGACAAACGACGAAACCGTAAATATGGTAAAAAGGTAGAAACCCAGGTACGATCTCTTGGTGTTCACCAACAGCTGGTTCGTCAAAATGGTAGGCGTGGTGTTCACCTTGTGTCAAATTAGCGACAATGTTCCTGAAACAATATTTCGAGAACAAACATTGACGGCGTGTGTTGATGGGTTTTCTCCTATTCGTCTATGAAGATCAGATTAATGAATTTTATTTTAACCTGTGAGTAAGTTTAACACCTTTAGGGAGCCCAGTTGTTCCACTTGAATACGGTAGAATGAATGTATCATTTTTACTGTCGGTTCCAGTTTTTTCTAATTCCTCAATTCCATCAGCAATTAAATCCCTAAAATTTATCGCACCTGCAGGAATTGACTCGCCCTCAGTAGGTACAACAATTGTTGGCAACCGAATCGAATTTTTTCCTTTTATACTCTCTTCAATCACGGGATACATCTCCTGCGTTGTAATTACTCCAGCAGCTTCTGAATTTACAATTTGTACACCCATCTCATGGGTCGTAAATGCAGGGTTTAATAATGTCATCTGAGAATATGCGAAATCATTAATCATGTTGAACCTTAATTAACAAATCGATGGATGAGTGAAAAATAGGACAGAAACTCGCAATAAATAATGGAAAAAACCATAAAATTACCTTCACTCCAGCTTCGCTTGCTCCCAACGCAACTAAGCCATACTCTGGAATATTCGGAAGAACAACTGCTAACGTATCTCCAGCCCGCAAATTATTTCGCCGTAAAGAAGTTGCAAATCTCCCACACAATTTCTTTAACATCCCATACGAATACGATCTTCCAGATGCTGCACACACCTGGAAGGTTGATAACTATCGTCATTGAAAACTGAACGGAATTCAGTGAACATTGTGTTCAAGTGAACATTGATTAGTCTCCCAATAAAAAATTCAATTAATGAGAGTTTTTCTAAAGATTGTTTTTTCTGATCTTCCTTGATTTTTCCACAAATTTCATAGAAAATCATGAGATTAGTGAAAAAAATCAACGAAAAAACAGTTTTTGGCACGGAACAACCGTAGCAGCAGTGACAACAAAACAATAATTTTATTGTAAGGATAATGACATGTGATATGAAGTTCTTCATCATGGTCGACACTTGGTAGTTAACTCTTTCTAAAAAAACATCATGGATAAAAGGACCAGGCAGGATTCGATGATTTTTTTTTAATTCCCCCCCCCCTCCCTCCCCTAAATGAAAGTTAACCCTTTCTATCCACTCGAGTACTGCACGATAAATAATGCCCTCATTCATCGGCGGAAACCTTTTTCCACTTGATTAACACGGTAAAAATAAGTTTTTTCCATTCAAAGCGATTCCACCACCGGATATTTTGGTCCTATCGCTGAGTGAGCTCACAGACTTAAAGAAGGGTATATAGAGGAGTAAACCCAAACAGAAAATTTCGACATAATTTGAAAAAACAGATTATAGATCAAATTAAAGCCTTTTATAGAGCAAAAACAAATTTTTAAAATCATGGACACTTGAAATGATACACTTGATGTGTTGCTCAGAAAATCTGTGTTCTCTTACCCACGATGAACCCTTATAAAAAAGTTGTCAAAGGAAAGAAAAAACGTTATAAAAGAATTACCTTCAGTCAACAAATTCAAGGGTCTATTACTGTTTCCAATTGATTGCTACTAAATAAAAATTTGATTTGTCAAAACATGGATTATTGATAACAATTACTAATGAGAACGACATCATTGGTCCGTTACAAATAATTACCTTACGATGACAGCATCTTTTCGCACATGCAGGGTAATTTTTCTGTGATCTTGAACAATTTGGAGGAATTGCATTTGATCCTCATCTTTGCTAAAACATTGTTTGAACTCTTCCATCAACACAACCCTACGTTCTGCAATATCATTCACAAATTTCAATTCTTTCAACGTTGTCCTGGCTTTTTTGAAACGGTGTGACTATTCGCACCAAATACGGGTGATCTACGGGTGATCTACGGGTGAGGTATGGATAATGTACGGGTCGTACGGCTAATCTACGGGTGGCCGGTCGGTTTAGCCTAAACTACGGGGTAAAAATGTCTTCTACGGATTTTTCTACGGGCGAAAAATTACTGCTACCGAATTATCTGAACGGAACCAAATCGTCTCGTCAAATTTNGCTACCGAATTATCTGAACGGAACCAAATCATCTCGTCAAATTTGCTGTACGGTTGTACATGAACAAATTTGCAGATTTCGAATTGTATAAACGCGTAAATTGAAGTATTATTGCCATGTATAGAATTTTCGATATATGAGAGATTCTTCGTCGAGTGAGCATATATTGCCTATATGTTTCTACATCATCAAAAATTCTGAAAAAGTTGAGAGCGTTTCCTGATGAGAAAATGTTATTTGTAAACTCTCTCAAATTTTTTGATTGTGTATTTGCGAAGACAAATAAAGGAGTTTATACGGAATCCGAAACAGGTTCTAACCCTTTCAACTCAATATATTAATTTTAGAGAACGAAATTTCATACCCAAATGTTTTGTTGTTTTTTATTCTGTTTGAATTTTCAAATTTTTTTGTCGCCTTATTTGAATATATCTTGACACATTTCATTGAAAAAAAACATTTCTTTCCACAATGTGAACAGTTTTAGGATTCTCAAAAAATGTGAGAATATTCGATATAGCGAATGAAATTAATTTATAATTTTTCTGAAGGGAGACTCCAATTTGCTGGTGGAAAAAAAATCAAAAGTAGTGCAATTTTTTTCTTATGTTTTTTTGCCTGAAAAGTGCTGCGCACTCGAAATTTACTCTACGCACGCTCTTGAGCTTTGCGCACTTGTATACAAAACCAACCACTTTTCCCCCACTACCGTTTCGAATAGTGAACTCATAAAAAAATAGAATATTTCACACGAGTGTATGAAAAAAAAACTTTACGCACTATTGACACAATATATTATTTTTCGTTAGCTGATTCAAGTATCCACCCTGAAAAAAAATTATAAACTAATGCCATTCAATATATCGATCATTCTAACATTTTTTTTTCATGAAATGCAACAGTACGAATGTTCGAATTGGAGGGAAAACACATTTTCATTTGTTTTCTTAATTGAATGCGTGCAAATGCATTCAAATAAGGTGGGTAAAAATTGAAGAAATGAAAAAAAAAGTTGAATAAATTTTGCTTTAACCTTTTTCTCCGACTCTAATTTATTAAGTTGAGTGGGTGCAAACCTATCTCGGATTTACTATGGGCGCCTCTATTCTTCTTTGAATATACGCACTCAAGGAACACAGGAAACACTTGTATTTGTAATTCACCGGATGTAAATTGGACATGTAATTTTATTTTACGTCCTCAATAATATAGATTTTCTTCCGACTTTTAACCCCGGGATCAATCATTCTCCATTTTCTTATGTAAAAAATAATATTTTTATTCAACATGAGAAAAAAATTGGGATAATTGTCCATTCTCCCGCACAGTTTCATTTTTTTCTGAAAGCCATTTAATACTTTATAGAACAGTTCAGGAGCATTTATTAGTTACTTATCATCATAGCATTGAGAAAGGTCCTTTTCAGATTCAAATAGTTTTCGACAATTGACAATCGAGGTACTGACCCCATGCAGGTATACCTGGGTCTTTTTATAGCCGCGTGCTTGGTCAGTGGGAAGAAAAAAAGGTAATAAAACTTTTTATTATTTTAATGAGTTGAGTTTCAAGGCCTGGGGAACTCCCGATGGACATATTCAAGAATTCCCTAACTTTCCGAAGAAAATGGGACACTTTTCTCCATTCCGGTATTCCCCAAATAGCTAAAAACCAAAGAATCATATGAGTTTCCATTTCTAGAACACACAAATAAGATTAACAGATATTCAGATATTTTCTATAGAAATTTTCCGAATTTTTTTGTTAAGGAAATAAGAAGAAAAATGAAATGGAAAAAGCTTAGAAAATTCATGTCAAGGAATTCTTATAAAAAATGTTCAATAAAAAAAGTTTTAGATAAAGATCAAATTCTACTGATTTTCTTTATGAAATGCGTTCTCTTGGACATTTTCTATGAAAAAAATGCGTTGTAAACCTGCGGAATTATTCCATAGGAACAGCTATAAACTATAGTGATTATTATAGAGTTTTCAATAGGAGTTGAATAGAAATACAATCTAATATTCTATTCAATTCGTTAGATTTTTCTATCAAATTTTTTCGTCCGTGATGGGTCAAATCGGACAGAGATTATGTTAGAAAAAGGAAGAACAAATTCTTTTCGTACGTATTTTTTTTTTTTCTAAAAATTATTCCATTTTTTGCTTCCGAAGGGAAGCATTGTTTTTGGTCGATTTTTCGATTCTCTAATTTTGGTTGCAAATGGTCCACAACGTCATGAAACGTAAAGAAATGATGTTTTTAGGGGGGTGTCTGTATGTATGTGTGTGCAGATTCGGGTTTTTGGTGATTCAATTTTAGAAAATTCAACGTAAATACGGTGAAATTTGCAGCTAAAAATTTGAAATTTCGGCTCATGATAGCTATGAATGAGCCTCACTTTGGTGCTTCGTTTCAGCTCGATCGGTGAAGTAGTTCCTGAGATATAATCACTTGTTTAAATTTCGTTTTTCCGCAATATCTCGCCAACAACTGCACCGATTTCAATTTTTTTTTTCGAACTACTCATCTCGATGGCCGCTATCTAGATCACTCATATCATATATACCGATTTGTGTAAAGTTTAGAGATATTGCGGTTTATCCGTTTTTTCATAAAAAACACTGTACGCGCGATAAGTCAATGAAAAAACGAGCTAGCGACTTGAAATTCGGTATGCTGCTAGCTTTTGTAACATAGACGGTTCGTATTTTCGATGAGGTCAATCGGTCGAGCGGTTCGCGAGATATTCAATTTTTTGTGAAAATCTATTCTGTCAAATATCTCGTCAACTACTTGACCAATTAAAAATTTTCTTTTTTCAAAATATCCGTCTCGATCGCTACTATCTAGATCATTGAAAATATATGTATACCCGTCCATACAACCTTTTGGAGATATTCTCGTTTTTGNATGGATCATTGCATTGAGCGAGGGTGAGGTAATATACTGACATTATTTAAAAAATTAGACGATAGCATGGATTTCATCGGACCATTCTTTCCCAGTGACAATGTGGAGATCTGGTTTGAGTGGAATTCATATTTCTTGCCAATGGAAACAAATCAAAGGAAATAATTGAATCAGAATAGAACAACATACTTTGATTGATAAGAAAAGTAAGAGAAAATGATGATTTTACAAATGCGAGTTGAGAATAAAAAATTGATGGCTCACTATCGAATTTGGTTCTCATCTTTTAATCTCTAATATGCTTCCCTTCGGAAGCTTACTATCAATGAAATTGGTAGAAAAAAAAAGAAAAAAAAGCATAATAAGAAAAAAAAAGTAACGATCATTCGTCTTATATCAAGTAGGCTTCTACCCCTGCTTGTTTTTAAGTTGAAAATGCAGCCACGTGAATCTAAGTTCAGAATTTAAGTGGTATCCAATATTTCCATATAAAATGACGAACCCATACAGATGTACCCCGTGCAGATAATTCAACTAGATAATATGACTCAGTTCAGATAACTTAGCAGTGGTCATTTTTGACCCGTACATTAATCCGTACAAGACATTTTTACCCCGTAGTTCAGGCTGAACCGACAGGCCACCCGTAGATTAGCCGTATGACTCGTATACATTATCCGTACATCACACGTATTTGGTGCGAATAGTCACGCCGTTAAAAATTTGAGGCCCTGTTCAAAATGAGGGTGACCACTGGTCACCCATCCAATTCCAAACCTTACTCGATGTTAGTTAACTTTGAAGATCGTCAGTCGGGCTAAAGTCCAAGTCCACTATCCTGTGATTTTTGGGAATATAACATTTAGATATTCTAGAGAAAGGTGAAGATTCGGATTCTCTGATGATTGACATATGATTTTGCCCAAACCTTAATTATGACCCTTCTTAATTAATGAACCTTATTTCTGACCCTCGTGGCTCTTATTTCCGACCCTTATTTCTGACGTTCATTCCTGACCCTCGTGACCCTTAGTTTTGACCCTTATTTGTAAACTTCATTCCTGACCCTCGTAATCCTTATTTCTGAGTTTATTTTTGAATCTCATTTCTGACCCTCATGACCATTAGTTTTTACCCTTTTTGTGAGCTTCATTCCTGACCCTCATGACCCTTCTTTCTGACGTTAATTTTTTTTATCCTTATTTCTGACCCTTTATTTTAATCCTTATTTCTGACCCTTGATTTTGACCCTTATTTAGATTACTGATAGGTTCTATGATGGGTTCTCTGGTAGGATCAGTTATGCCCAACCGGATTTGGACAATTAAATGTCTTTAATACCTTATAAGCGACAAATAAGTTACAAAGGGGTTGAGCTACATAAGTTAGTGATCGGTGGTAAAGTCATCTGTCACCCACAATGATCATCCCTACTACAGGGTGTCCCATAGCATGTGACCAAACTAAATTGTAAATAACTTGGATACAGTGAAATGTAAATAATTGTTCTTTTTTTACTGTACAAGGAACATTCAGCAAATTACAATACAATTCCTTCCAAGTGTCCGCCATCACTTGTACTACAGAACTCTATCCTACGTTCGAAACTGGTATAGATGCGCCGTATTGTGTTTTTATCAACAGCTCGGATAGCATCCCGATTGTTGCATTTGGAACCTACAGGTTACACGTCAGGTACAACCTATGAGTCAGTAACCTGCAACAAACTCATCGGTTCCCAATGCACATTGGTAGCTCCCGACAAAATTTCTATTCGGGGCTATTCTCAAGTGAGGATCGTACGTTCGAGCGCAAGCTCGAATTTGTGTTGTATTTTTCAGCGAAAAATTCATTATGAACAACTGATTATCTATAAATACTTGTGAATTGTTTACATTTTTACTGCATCAACTTTATCTTAATAACGAGTCCCCGTTACCCGTGATACGCGTCTGAGTCGCATGCGTCTCGCTTGCGCTCGATCATACGTCTACTAAGGTTTTCTTCAAACAAAGTTGATTAGAATTAATAGTTAGAATTATGTGATTATCTCACATTTTTTATGTTAAGGATAAGAGAATCTGAATGCAATATAGTGAAAGTGATGATCGATTTTTTCACCTTGAACAAATAATATTACTAGTCCAATCAACATTTCTGATATGAATAAGAAACTGTGACTCAATATTCCAAATGAAGTTTTAATTTTTAAATTGGTGCTAAAAACACGAGATGACTATAATCCAAGCCCCTCAAATTTCACCGGTAAATATTTCCTACTTCTCGATTGTCGCGCACAGCGACAGTTCAGCGAGTTTATGGACTCGATCTTGACTCTTAAAGCCAATAATATACTAAATTATGTATTCTTGGCAATAAAGGAATAACATACAATTTGATGAAATATATCAAATAATATGCAGGGTCAAATGTATGAAACAATGCTGTAGTGAAAATTTTTGGACATTTGTGATGTTATTACATCATCATTGTTTACGTTAAAATAACTTCACTCAACGTAATCCTGAAATTATTCTGATAAAAAGCTCTATTGTAGCAGGGAGTTCAACAGGAATCAAATCGAAGTTCACTTGCGCACAAGAATATAATGGTGCTGTTCATATCAATAATCCAGCCTAGTTTATGCCCAGTGCGAACATGTCTATTGCAAGATTTCCTAATTCTAGTAATTTGTGTTTTTCTCTGTGTATTTCGATACATACGAGTGCGGTTTTATTCCACCACTTATCAACATCTTTCCAAACGATCTGATGCACACAACCAGCTGGAATTTTCACGTCATCAAAAGGGCTCTTAAATACATTGTGTCCGTCGACAATTGGCCCAACTGCGCTAAAGGTTGTTTTGTCCATCCAATTTGGTTGAGAACTACCGAAATTTTTTTTCAATTGTAATCTATATAATTCGTAAATTTTTGAATTCAACAATTGACGAGTGGTGAAATTTCTACTCCCAGGCACTTCAACTCTACGAAACGTAGCATTTCGTTGCATTATTCTGTTCATTATATATGCCTGTTCACTGGAGTAATGGATAAATGAGACTGACGTGCTGCAAGGTCGGAGATTATATTTATTAAAAAAGAATGTTGTAGTGTATTATGGTGAGCGCAAGCATATCACGTAAGTGAGAGATAGCCTCTTCAGAAGGACATCGCTGTTAAATTGCCCGCCTAACACGAACACAGGTATGAATCATTGTAATTGATAATAAAGCGCAATTGAAAATCATGAAACTGTAATATTTTTCTATCATGCTTGTAATTCTAAAAAGTAACTTATCCAACACAGAAAAGATTGCAACCGGAAAGAAATTATACCCGGTCTACATCACTCGAAAAACTTCAAAACTGGAAATAGTAAATACCTCCAGTATTAGAGGAAGAGCCAATGTTTCATAACCAATTGAATGAAGTTTATAGTCATATTATTCATTTACCCCCCCCCCCACCCTCCGCTTTAAGGGACACTGTCCTATAGAGGGGCCGGCACAGGTTTTTTTTCAAGTCAGAAGTCTTAGCTTGATAGTGTGTTTCGTTCCCCCAGGCCTAGAACCTTTCAATGTGCCAGTCCCCCATCCTTGCGACTGCAGACGTCTTCAAACCTCGTTTAGCCACCGTATTAGCAATCTAGGAAAAACTGCAGAAAACCCTAAACACGGTGGCAGGCGATTCAGATGAGTAAAGAAGATAAAATAGTGCACTGATACAAAACATGAAACGATTTAGTTACACTGAGAAAACATTTCTCTAGAAAATTTTTCTCTGTGTACTGTTAATGAGGCTTCTTAACTATTGATGTCATTCGTTAACTATTAATGAATGGTGTCAATAATTGAGAAGCATCATTAGCAGGAATTAAATCGCTCTAGGAGTCGAAAATAATATCTGTATGGTTCAGATATATTTTCTTATTTGAGGTTTTTATGTTACTTCAATTCTGAGAAGTATCGCACGCATTCATGAGGTGCTTTCATTGAAATTTTCCCAAAACGGTGCTTTTTGGCCAGTTGTTATTTTCATCGATAAAAAATTTGATCATTCTAAAAGAGATACTTGTAACGAAATATTTGCGTACATTTTTGTACAGTTTTGCTCATTATTTTGGTTTCTCCACTCAGTCCGTAACCTTCATTTAGATTAAATTTGGTAAGATTTCCCCCGATGACAAGTAGTTTGCGTTTAGTAGTAAAAAAAAAATTATGTATGATTTTTCCAAAGACTAATTTTAAAACTCGTGTGTTAATACTTATTGGGGACAGTCGTGGGACACGCGCAACCTGCGCTTGGCTCGTCTCGTCCAGTGCTTGGCTACGCGTGTCCTATGACTATCCCTAAAAACATTACCCCACTCCTATTACCATTCCCCCTTTTGTGTGAGCTATAACAATGGCGAAATTTCGCCCACAGTGCAAAACCTCTGGTCTTATTGTAAGATCAATATGTCCGAATCGTAAGATCGCATTTTTAAAGACTCAAAGTGATCTTAAAACCCAAAACCGTTCTTGGAACTGATAGCTATTGTTTTAAAATATTCAGTATTGATTTTTAGAGTGGCGAGAGAGGGGGAGGGTTGCACGCTAGGTCTTTCTGACCCTCATTTTTGAACCCTTACGTTTTGACCCGTACATATTGTATTTTGATGAAATTGGATATGGTCCATTATGCGGCGAACCAATAACTTCTCGACCGATTCCCTATTTTCTGTTCACTTAAATATTTGGAATGTTTTTAAATATGTCCTTATAATTATTTCAGAAAAAATCAGTGCCAGTTTCAGAAATAAAGTTCAAAATGAGTATCAGAAATAAGGGTCAAAAAGAGGTTCAGCGAAAAATACCCATTTAACCAAGAATCTTTCGAAAGTCAATACAATTCGCTCATGATTTTCAAAAAACCCATCTCCCTCGACAGAGCGAAGCGAGCGACCCGCTTCTGATTTTTATCGATGAATTTTACCGTATTTATGCCACATTTTCTCAAAATGAATCACCAAACATCGAAATAGTCACATACATAAGTACTGTCTGTACCTCCGTTATCAATAATATCACTTCTTTGTTTCATAACATTCTGAATCATTTTCGAGCTAAATTAGAAATTATCAAAATCGTACAAATACACAGCTTCCATTCGGAAACAAAAATCAGTAAAAGCGGGACTAACAGCCCTTAGCGCGGATTGAAAGAAGGAAGACTAGTTAGTTATTTGACAATGATTTCAAAAACTATACACCAAGGACCCTGGTCCTGCCTTTACTGATTTTTTATTTTATAAAGATTATTTTCCCCATCCTTCAATGCAGAGCTATCCTACTTATAGCAATCTACACACATCTACACACTATGATCATCCATTAAAAATTTCCTGACTTGGCTCTTTGTTATTATTTTCTTTATTTTTTTCTAATTTTCTATGAAAGTTCTATTTTTAAAAAACAATCTTCTCAAAATTTCCAAGAGCAATCAAACAAAAATTTGATTGACACAGTTTTTTTACAAAAACATTTGTTTTGGGGGGAGATTTCATTCTCTTCGAGTTCTGTTTATTTATTAAGCTGTTTTTGTATTTATTTATCTACTGAATTTCAATTACATAATTTTCAATAATCTATTCATGTTTATTTCGTATTCACAATAACTGAATAGCCTGATAACAAGATATGTGAATCGTAAGGAGCAGAGAGAAAGAATACACTTTCTCTCTCCCTACTTCACTTACGAGGTTGAATACTACTACTACCAACGTGACAACTTGATTCATCTACCAACTTGATGTGAAATGCAAGAATGAGGATAGGAACCCGCTAACCTTGAACAGAAAATTAGTTACATCAATGAACAGCTTGTGACCGATTTAAACCATGACATGATCAATATTAAATCCCCCCGGGTAATTAAAAGAACTGAAACCAGATCATAATTTCTGAAGTTCCCTCCTGAGAATTTTACCAGCTGCACTTTTTGGTATGGCATCGATGAACTGAACTTGGTTGATATGTTTGTGTTGAGAAAACCGCTCAGCAACATATTTTTTTATTTCTTCCTCTGAGATTTTAACGTTTGGCTTTGGCACGATAAATGCCTTTGGTACTTCTCCCAATTTTTCGTCAGGTACTCCAATTACCGCAACATCCGCGATTTTTTCGTGGCCATGAATGAAATCCTCTAGTTCAGCCGGAGCAACCTGGAAACCCTTGACTTTGATGAGTTCCTTGAGACGTCCGGTAACAAACAATTGTCCTAAACGAAATGTTCAAAATATATTTTTAAAATATGAAATAGTTTCATCCATCGATTGGATGGATATATTCTATGGATTTACGTTTTATCGTTGTGAATAATTCAATTCATACCTTTATCATCAATATGCCCCAAATCTCCTGTCTTCAACCACTTTCCATCCATACAATCCTCGGTAGCTTTCGTATTCTTATAATATCCTTTCATTACCTGTGGCCCATCTACAACAATTTCTCCAGTCTCATTAACTCCCACGTTCTTTCCAAACTTATCATCGTCTCTCCCAACAATTCGAACTTGAGTATTCACAGCAATCAAGCCCGCGGAATTCCACACGGAATATTTCGATCGTGTGATCACTGGTGATGTCTCAGTTAGTCCGTAAATCTGGGTGAAATGAAGATTTGTACCTATTTTCGAACGGAATTTGGTGATCAATTCCATTCCTATTGGGGCTGCTGCACTCGTAACGCATTTGATAGCCTCGAAATGTTTTTTCGTGAATCTACTGTTATTGGCGATGAGTTGAACCACTGGAGGAGCAACATATAGTAGTGTAGTTCGGTACTTTTCAAGAACATCCAATAAATTGTTCGATGTGAATTGGGGCATGCAGATTATTTTTGCACCTAAGCTAAAGAAAAACGAATGGTGTATTAATACCACGGAAGAAGTAAATACTGTTTCATAAGAAATTTAATAATTGAAGGAGAATCAATATCAACAACTAAAGTATATCAAATAATAAAGTAGTTTCGGAGCAATCTAGCCCTGATGATGCAGACTGAAATGTTTGCAAAACGTTGGTAAAAAGCTGAATCTAGACATGGTATCCATCCGGAAGCCGTAACAGTGAATAATAATGTTGGCCGCCAAAGCCTCAAAATTCAAATCAAAAAATGAAGTTCAGAGTTGAAAAAATGATTGATTTGCCTTATTATATCCTAGAGTTACCTGAGATAGGGTAGAAGGCAAACGCCTAAACCATAGAGATGATATAAAGGTAAAAATAGTGGCACTATCTCTTGATGTTCACCGATGGCTGGTTCGGCGAAATTGTACTCTAAGTGTTTCATTTGTGTTAAATTAGCGATGATGTTCCTGAAAACATGATTTGAGTGTAAAAAACAGAAAATCCACGAGTTTATTTTTGACGTACACACGTTTATGGACTCGTTTTGCGAAAAAGTTGGTGCGACACTATGGGGAGAAATTATTTTGCAAAAATATATCAACTATAAATTAATAAATCTGCATGAATATATTATCGTTGGATAGGGTAAGCATGAAAGTTTATTTTGAGCCCTTCGGCTCATTTCCGTTTACATAGTACTAGCGTGATGTACTATTTATCAGTGGGTTTCACCGTTTCTCTTCGGGGAACTCGTCTTCTACCAATTGAATTACAACTGATGGGTGCTAATTAAATGGGTGAAGAGGTGAGCACTTGTGCCCGTCGTTTGGAGTTTCTGAGAGTCCTCAAAATGTTCGAGAAAATACTGAAATGATTACAACAAATCCAGAATTGCAAAATTCTACAAGAATTGCAAAAAATCCAGCACTTTCTGGAGAATTTTAGAACTTTTCGGCCGAAGCCATTAATTATTCTTCAAACGTATAAATTTCTCCAAAAAATGGGTTCTAGAAATTTTTAGACATTCCTAGAAATATCCCAAACCTTCCAGAAATTTCCGAAATGTTCTAAAAAATTAATGAAATGTTAAAAAAAAATCTAGAATTGCGAATTTATTCAAAGAATAGGAAAAATCCTAGACTTTTTTGCGGTTTGAAACTTCCTAAAGAATCTATTCTATTTCTAGAGCTTTCTGGAAATTCTTCAAAGCGTTTATAAATTCTCCAAATTAACTAGAAAAGAAAACTTCATAACCCTCAATTTAGTATAAGACAGGGTTTAATCAGAGTTCAATTGCGATTGTAACGAACGATATAGTCAGGGTTCGATTGGAGTTCAACCTCTGTTCAATCACAATTCAATCAAAATTTAGTCGATATTTAGCCGGCATTTTCCTCGGGTCTAATCTGCCTTTAGCAAGATTTAATTGTGACCTCAACAAAATTTAGATGGATTTTATGTGAGGTTCAACCGGGTTCAATCACTGTTTAACGATGTTCAGGCGAGGTAAAAAAGTACAGCCAATTTTTTGAAATTTTTTAAGTACATTCTTTGATATATTTCGATGCTGTGTGTGAAGTTTCAGATTGCTGAGGTTAATGGTTCAAATGGAATAAATTATTTTTAGAAACGCAATTTAACCCGTGTTCTTATGGGGAATGTGGAAAAATGCATAGACTGAATGTAAAAATGCAACCAATGTCACAAAAATGTGTCCACGTGTGACATAATAAATAAATTTTTTGCAAAAAAAAACATCGGTTGGATTCATTTTTTAGCCAAAATTGACAAAAATCACTAAAAATCAGAATTTCTGCGTGCGCATTTGTGAGTTGCGACAACGTAGCACTTGCCGATCGTGTGGGGGTAAACGCGGTAAATGCAAAGGTGAATAAAGGATCGTTGTGGACATCATGATATCCGAAGATAATTTCCCCGATAATAGATACAAATAAAATTCATGAAATTTTTGCTCTTTAATACACTTCCCCTTGAGAGAAACCATTGTTTCTACAGTAATTTCTGCTTGAGGTTAATACAGAGTCCTCACTTCACACGGAGATCCTGGAATTCATTTACTATTTTGCTCGTCGATAGTAAATTATAATGACGTGGGTGATGAATTTTTTGGATAAGCGTATATCGTTGGAAAAAATTGACATATGTTTATGCGTGTGACTACGTACAGCGACATACTCAGCGGGGGGTTCCCCCATAGAGTATGGCAGGCCGACCAACTCTGAGGAAAAACAACTGGCGTCGGGCCGACGTTGCCACTTTTTTTACACAAATTAATTATTTTCCATTTATTATTAAAATTGAGTATAAAAATTTTTTGATGCATGTAGGATGTAGGAAAAAAATAAAATAGTTACAAAAAATATTATATGACTACAGAAGAATCTGAATATGGTCGTATTATTTAATTGAAGGGAACCGAATTTTCGTGTTCAGGGATTGGTTTTCTGCAGGAATACAATAGATTCCCCTCCGCCACACCTCCTACATTCCGTCATCGCCTGAACATCGTTAATCGAGGTTTTTCCGGTGTTTGACCTGGGTTTAACCCTCGATCACTCGCGCTCGGCCGCCAACCTTTATCCGTCGCATGGTTAGCGCAGGGCCGCTGGGTTAAACCGAGTGGCAGAAAATGTAGCAACACTGTCGCTGGAGGGTCGACAAGGATCGACTCGTACCGGCGGCGCGGCACCGTTTTTCTATCCGTTCTACGTTTCTTTTCTTTTTTTAGCTAAACAAATTTCCCGAGCAAAAAATGGGCAACGCCAAAGCTTAATAAACGGATTGAACTAGGAACTCTATTTTTTGCAGAATTTTTAAGCGTCGAGAAACATGCTCAAATATAAAAAAAACGAAAACGTGCGGCGCCGTGCTCATGGAGCGAGTGACCGAGGGTTATTGTCAGCTGAATTCTGATGAACCCTCGATTACTCGCTCAATGAGCGCGGCGCCGCATGTTTTCGTTTTTTTCTATTTTAGCGTGGTTCTCGACGCTTAAAAATTTTGAAAAAATTAAAGTTTCTAGTTCAATTCTTTTATTAAGCGTTGGCGTTATTCATTTTTTCTGAGGAAATTTCTTGAGTTGGAAAAAAAATAAAGGTCAAACGCAAAGAAAAGCGGCGTCGCACCGCCCGGTGCCAGTGAGTCCCTGTCGATCGCTACTGTTACGTTCCAAGCTGGTTCTCCGTTGAACAGATGGCAGGTCCAATGCCCGTGGAGCGCTAAAGCACTCTGCTCCACAAGTGCGGGAATTTTCGAATAAAAATAATTGAACACGAACACCAATTTAATTAGATAATCCAATCGAAACGTTTATATTTACTTTTCAAAACTTAGAAGATATTTTACAACAACACTTTGGGTTTTTAAAACTTGAGAAGACGATAACAATTTCTCTCGAACTTCTCGTATCCACGTATGGGGTGGATCTGCCCTTACTCTTACTCTAAAAATTAGTCTAAGTGTCGAAGACGAAGGGCTCATCCCACAGAAAAGAGTAGGGGACCAATCGTGGCCTTGAATCCAGTGAACAGTGTTGGTCTAACACCCCCGCGATCGCTCGAGCTGGCCCAGCCCCAACTCTCGAGTCTACGTGACTTGAACAAAGGGCCTTACATGTGGTTTTTCGGGAGAGACAGAAAATGCTGGAATTTCACCCGGGGAAAATAAACTGTCTCCAGGAAAAGGTTTTACGACTCGAACGGTTTAATGTCAAGCTAGAATTGCACTCGAAAACTCTATAGAAAAAAAACAATACAAAGGATCTTTTATTTTTGGATGGCCAGAGCTACGTCGAGAGACTCTTTAGATTTATTACTCGTTTCCTGTTTACGAGTTTCTCGAACTTACTTTCCAAAATTCTATATTTTCTTGTTTCCAAAACCGTGGGAATATTTCAACTAGCTTAAAAATAATATTGGATTTATAAAATTATCAGATAAAAATATTTGAATCTCAATGGTATAATTTAGTGGAATAATGGTAGTCATAGGGACTATATATGGTAACTAGTGGTTTACGCGACACTGGAGCGACAGTGTCGCTATATACATTCATTGCCACACTTGAGATGTGCACATTACGGTAAGCGCTAACGTGGCAACAACGCGCTCGGTTTAACTCAGCGGTGCTGCGCTAACCGTGCGTCGGATGAAGGCTGGCGGACGAGCGCGAGTGGTCGAGCGTTAAATCAGAGCCATCAATAAATATGTATAAGCATGCAATATAATACAGTGATATTAGGAGTTCTGTAGAGGTTTGATACGTGAAGCCGATGACGCTACCATCGTTTAATTCAATTCAGAAGACTCAAGAGCGATATTTTTGTTCTCTTAAATGGAGGAAAAATTCTGGTCCACACATTTACAGAGACCGTGCGTTCGAATTCCTATTTGTAATCCTTTTTTTTTGGTTCTCACAGAAAGGAACCCTTTCCGAAGAGGTAATTTGAGTCGGAAGGCTGCAAACTTCTTTTCCTATAGCGTATAGACTAAATGCAAAAAAAAGGCTATTGCAAAATTCTGGAAATACACAGGCTTCCTTCACAACGGTCATTTTTGTTGACGCCTTCCCACTGTCTTTCAACCAATAATTTTAAGACAAGTTCAACCATTCCAATTTTGAGAAGTCCTAGAATTTTCTGAAACTACAAGACGGCTACCGTCCCAACAACGGCCAGTGAAGGCATCCGCACGGAGAAAAATATTCAATAAAAATCACGTATCTTTTCCGTAATTCTGGAGCGAAATGTGGTTGTAGGAAATTTTACGGAACTGTCACGGAATTTTTCAGGAGCGTTCCATAATTTTTACCTGAATCTCCCGTGAAAAATTACGATACCGTCACGTAAATTGTCTGCGTCGATTCAAAATCAAATATTTATACCTCATGAAGTGCAATACTATCGCAAAATTGTTCAGTATAATGCTGGTCTTTAGTTAGCAGACAATTCGAATTTTTACTCAATTAATATCGTGTAATTTAGGCTTCGTGTATGATCTGTTTGTGTCAGAACAGAACAATTATTTTTTGTATAGTTAAAATTAAGATGTTTGTTAATCAGTAATTTTCATTAAAAAACCCCTAAACCACAGTTTTACCCCACATACACTGTGTCGGTTTAGTTTCCTGTATGTTATTGGACATTGGCCAGATGGAATTTCGGGAGCTGACCTGGATAATCGATTCCAATAAGTCCCAAATTTAGCATCGCGTACACTCGAACCTTTTTTCATCCCTGATTTTATATAAATATGCATCCAAGCTCATCCAATATATTTATTAAACATTCATCGGCGTTATCATTCGAGAACCCCGCCGACATCATCCTATCCTCCGGATAGGACCCCTGAGCAAACTCCCCGTCAGCTCACGACAAGCCGAAGTGTTGATGACTGACGGAGTCAGAACCCGCATTCCGTTGCAGTACTTTGGAGCGATCTCCTTGAAAAACTAATCGAAGTTTCATCTTACCTGTGAGTCAGCTCCACACCCTTGGGTACCCCAGTAGTTCCACTCGAATAAGGCATCAATGCAGTATCATTTTTATCATCGACTCCAGTATGCTTCCCAGTTTTTTCGAACTCCTCAATTCTATCATTCACTAAATCCCTGAAGTTTATCGCACCAGATGGCACCGGCTCGGTTCCACTTGGAACAACCATTGGTGGCAGACGAATCGAATTTTGCCCTTTGATACTCTCCACAATTTCTGAATATTTCTCTTTAGTTGTGATTACTGCAGCAGCCTCTGAATTTTTTAGTTGAAGATTCATTTCATGAACTGTATAGGCAGGATTTATTAACGTGAACTAAAAAAAAATGAGAAAAAATTATTCAGTTGCATATCCAAGAAGAATTGGCGTACCAATTCCAAAGCAAAAACCGAATGAAAAAATGAAAGTAAATATAATGAGTCAAATCACTAATAGAACGGTACACGCAGAGAAATGTTCAGTAAAAATTACGGAACTAACAGTTCGCTCACGGATTATGGAATCGACTCAGAAAATTTAAGTATGACGGTATCGTAATTTTTCGGAACGCTCTGGAAAAATTCCGTGATTTTAGATGAAAATTACGTGACAGTTCCGTAAAATTTCCTACAACCACATTTCGCACCGGAATTACGGAAAAAATACATCATTTTTATTGATTATTTTTCTCACTCGGATTTCAGCCAATCAGAGCGCAGTATTTGAGGCTGTTAAACAGCTTTATTTCACAAATTTCTAAAAATTTCCCACGGAAATTCACTAGTAGCTTTTCAAATGTTTCTCATCTTTCAACGCATTTTACGTTTAATATTCTGTGTTACAGATAAACAAAAAAGTGGGTTGTCAATGTATGGCTGTGTAAATGTATCCGGATGCTGTTCACTGCACTCTGCTTGGCCGAAATCCGAGTGGAAAAATAATCCGTCAAATACCACTCGTGCTTCAAAATTAATCGGATATTTTCCTCAAGCTTCCCTGCCTAGGAACGATTGTGTCAAATTTTGCAGGTTTAAAATCCCTCGTGCTTCGCACTCGGACGGTAACAAATATCCGATAATTTTGAAGCACTAGTGGTATTACTACTGAATATTTCTCTCCGTGTGTAAGAAATATTGCAAAAAGACCTCTGTGGTTTGTATGCGCAATTTGAACACGAGATATGCGTGAGACATGCGTAGTAGAGTGGGTACCTATTCTGGAGTTGTGTAAAGCTAGTTCTGCACTGAGAAAATAGCTATTTTCGGCACAAGGCTGAAAAAGTATTTTTCCGGCCTGTTGCGATGGGGTTTTTTACTCGTGTGGCGTTGGCCTCCGAGCCGTAGGCGAGGAGTGGCCAACCACACGAGTAAAAAAACCCCATCGCAACAGCCCAGGAACAATATTTTTCTGTAGTGATTTTCAAGTTTTCGAGTTTGGAAAGTATGTAATACCAATTCTCAGATGAGAAATCGTGAGAAGCAGTACAGAAAACAACTTTTCTGACGAGTGTGAGGGTTGCGAACCGAGGCGAAGCCGAGGAATGCAATCCTACCAGTCAGAAAAGTTTTTTTCGACCGAGTGGCGAACATAATTTTTCTTTTTAATGTCCGTAAACAATGTCTTTACAATGTCCGTCTTACGTACAGTGTNAATTCCTGATAGTGATGAAGAGTTAGGCAGTGAGGAGAATTTATTTACTGATGAGGAGGAGTTTATTGGTGATGTGACATTTGAAGAAAATGGAAATAAAATATTCTCCGATTTTTCAATTACGTTTTGTATCATATTTTTTTATAATTATAACTTTCTTTTTTTTGCGAATTCTTAACGATTTTTAAAAATTGTATTTTGTAATTATTATAATTAATTTTTTTCAATTATAAATACTTTACAAGTTTTTTGAACTACATATTTAATGAATATAATTAATTTTTTCTTCAGAAGTTGCGCATAATTTTTAAATCACACTTTTTTATAATTATTTTTTTAAATAAATGTGATCTTTGTTCTTCAGTGGGGGGGGGGCTTCACCCCCACCCCCCCTCCGCCCACAGACTTCATCACGCACTTATCATATAAAATAGTACACGCAACACGTGCGGACAGCAGGCGATCTCACTCGGGCGGCTGCGCCGCCCTCGTGAGTAACCGCCTGCTTTCCGCACTAGTTGCGTAATGTACTGTTTTAGAAATACGTCTTTACTTGTATCAAAAAAGTCATGGCTCGAAAGTTGACAAAAAGAAAATATCTCGCACTGAGAAAAGAAACGTTTCGGCAAGAGATTTTATACTCATCCTGAAGATGAGGGGTCATTTGTTCACAACGAGAAAGCAACTTCTCGAGCCAAGTCAAGTGATTTTTGTATAAAAATATTTTAGATTTGAGACTTGAAAATTATTGAATAAATTGATTCAACTAGATTTGGTTTCAGAGATCACTTCCTTGTAATACAAAAATGATGCAAGTGAAGACATACTATCATACCTATCAACTTTTTTTTTCTGTGTGCATGGTGAAGTGCCGAGCTCTTCACTTTGCATGTGCGAAAGTCTATTTCCGCACTTCTCTTAGGCCTGACTTTCACACGTATCATGCGTACGAACGTGAATTTCCGCACATGAAATTTCATTTCCAAATGACGATCTCTTCTCCCATTCGCATTTACACGTTCACATTCTCATGTGCATGGAAGAGGAAATCATCATCCGAAAACAAGATCTATCTAAAATGTAATAAAATAGGTCTATACGAATACGTTTTCTATAAATTTCTAATTCTGAATCCTGGACGAAGTGATGTGTGAAAATCACCCTTCACACATGAGAAGTACGGAAATTAACTTTCGTCCATGCAAAGTGCGGAGCCCGGCACTTCCACACACTGAAATGTAGTGTGTAGTGTACAGGGTGTAACTTTATTGGTAGAAAACCGTGCGCCCACTGGCTCGGAAACCCTCAGTGCAAGAAATTTTTTTTTTAATTGGTTATCTATTCAATTTTGAATAAGTAACGAGTAATGAAACCAATGAGGCTATGTCTAGCGGAAAACGAGTCAGAAAGAGGACGATTTTCAAGGCTATCTCGCATTTAGTATAAATAATTGGGCTACTGTGCGAATAAACAAAACAAACAAGGGACAACGAGCATATGACAGTGAGCATGTCACTGAGTGCTGTTTTAATGTTTTTTTTTGTCATTCCGACCGTAAGGCTTTTCATACTTGTAACGTAATATACTATTTCGGCCTAATGACGAAATATACTATTTATTGAACCCTGACAGCTGTAACCCGCAACATGAATACCAAATGGCATCTAGCGGATGGACTACTTCTAGAGCGCCCACTTATCGCATTTTTTATATTTTTCCGATCACATGATAATCCTCTGTGTATTCCGAGGGTCCAGCTTGCCTAATTCCTCATTTTTTGTTCATAGTCCATTTTATCCCATTCTACCCTGCGCTTCCTTTAAATATTCAAATAATGATATAGATTTTATAATTAATTGGATGAGTACTTGAAAATATTTCTGATTTCTTTACTTTTTATAATAAACGACTATTTGAAAATATGAAAGTATAACTACTGATTATTATCACAGTGGCAGAATTTTCGATCACAATTATCCATTGATAGAGTAAAAAAAATGTTGACGGTCAATATTGCCAATTCATAAAATAGATGATTATTAACCCTAGTCTGGTCACCCTACGCGACCCAACGACTTTGGTCACGTCCGCGGGGAAGTGCCGCCGTGTTATCTAGGCCCGAACGTTGCCAAATTCACTCTACACTGCCCGGGTGCATTTAGCGAGTTTCCGGCAACGTCGCGTAACAGGCACTTCCATTCAACATGGGAAAAAATAATTCCTCTGTGAGAAAAAAATTGTTTTCTTCAGGAATTTCGAGAATTATGTTGTTCTGAACTACTCTAATTTTTTAGATACTTTAATTGAAAAAGTCAAATTTTTTTGAATTTTTCCGATCAGCCATTCAATGGCAATTTAAGAAAAACGACGGGCTGCGGTGTCTCCCTCATATGGTGACCAATCTAGGGTTACGATGATTATTTAATAGTAAATTGTACACCAAGGGAGGAAAACAGGACATTCGAACCCGCGTGTGGATTATTGCCCGAGGCGACGCCAAGGGTTCCTAGCTGCACATACTATTTTTCTGTACTGCTTCTCACGATTTCTCGTCTGGGAATTGGTATTACATACTTCCCAAACTCGAAAACTTGAAAATCACTACAGAAAAATATTGTTCCTGGGCTGTTGCGATGGGTTTTTTTTACTCGTGTGGCGTTGGCCAGTCCTCGCCTACGGCTCGGAGGCCAACGCCACACGAGTAAAAAACCCCATCGCAACAGGCCGGAAAAATAGTATTTCGTCATAACCCCGTCACCGCGCCCAATATACAAGACCAATGTCCGGGCGCGCGCGCCCGCCGAATGTCGCCCTGCTACTAGAGAACTGGAGGATATAGTTCGATTTTTCTTCGTAAATGCAGGGAGGAACATGGGTTAATTCATTTTGAGGATCGTTGAAAACAACAGCTAGTTTCTTCTCCGCTCTCGTAAACTTTACACACTCGTACTACTATTTTATATATAATAAAATATACTATTTTTATTACCTTCGAATGTCTGACAACGAAAATTCGATTCCGAATGATTAAATTCAATTATTTCACCTTTGTCTCGAACAATCAAAATGCTAGTAAAAAAAATGAAATTTTTGAAAAATCATAACTCGCTGAAAAAAAATCGAATCGCTTTGAAAGTTTTATGAGAGGTTGCTCTCATGTACTCCTTCTTAGAAAAAAATCTTCAAGACAATTTGAAACATGAAATTATTTTCATTTCGGATTTTATGTGGAATTGCTCAGTAAGCTTTACTATGTTAACATAGTAAGCGTTACTAACATAGTAGAGCTTACTATGTAACATAGTAGTCATTGCTATGTCCATAGTAACTATTACGATGTTCCATGGTAGCCATTACCATGTCCATAGTAATACTTACAAAACTTTGGCAATGTTTACTATGTGCGAATTCCGATATAGTAATCTTTACTAGTTTATTTTTTCCGTGTAGATATAACAGGTTGAGCCAGCGTATAATTTTTGCCGCTGGGTCAGTAGTGTTGAAACATACGAGAAATTGGCCCAGCGACCAACCGCTGGGATAACCTGTTAAATCTAGTAACCTTGATGTCAGCCTACCTAAGGAGCGTGTGTTGGCTGAACAGTCCGTGAAGCATCTGATGAGTCCGTGACACTCAATCAGAGCAAAGATTTTGCGCATTTTTCTCGAGCTAAAATAGTACTCCTTGCGGAAATGATTGATGGCTGAAATGATTGCATATCCAATAAAACTAGAAAGGAAATAATAAGATTACTTTTACACCTGCTTCACTCGCTCCCAACACAACGATGACAAACTCGGGAATATTCGGCAGCACAACTGCCAGAGTATCTCCAGGTCTTAAATTATTTTGACGCAACGAAGTTGCCAATCTCCCGGACAATTTTCTCAACTCTCCATATGAGTAAGATCTGCCTGATACCGCACATACCTGGCGAAAAAACAAAATCTTGCTCATCAAAAAAGTTAAGCGCACAATATGTGAATTATATAATAATAGAGAATGGATTAATAGGTACAATTGCAGTTTTATTCCACCATGTATCAATGTCCCTCCAGATTAACTGATGTAGATAGCCCGAGGGAATTTCCACATCCCCGAAAGGACTGCTGAACACATTCTGTTCATCAATAATAGATCCAACACTGTCCGAAGTTGTTTTGCCACTTAATTTTTTTTTAGAAGTACAAAACCGATTTGTAAAGTGTAGTCTGTCGAATCTGAAATCGGTTTTACCCAACAACGGATTGATAATGAACTTTCCATTCGCAAACACTTGTATTCTATGAAACATGACAAGTCGCAGCATTGTGGCGCGAGAACGGGCCTGTTAACTCGATGGATAGTCAATCGAGACTGATTGGGAAGCCAAGACCATAGTTCAATTTGCATGCGAAACTCCATTAACGATTTGGCGCCACGTCTGACAGGTATTCATGCGTGTAAGAGGGACAGAGAAAGATATCGAAATGAAGGCAAGCTTCATGAATCTATCCTCTTCGTCATCATCGCGAGTAGCGTGTTGGAATGAAATGACGCATCTAACGGCGTTAATTATTAATATTCGTATTCACATCGATTATTTAAATTGATTAAATTGGTCAGTTTTACACATTACCATTGATTAATGACAAGTTTAAATGAATTGAATTGCATGAATGGAATGACAAAGTTGAATAATAATTATTTTGGGTAATGATTATCAACTTTCCGGTGAGAATAAAGGAGGAAGTTATGGTAATGACCCCGAAAAAGAACTGCTGAATTTCGATGTTTTGTTCACGTCGCATTTCCGCGCTAGAATCATTCTGAAACGTTTTTAAAGATGTGTTCACTTGTGTGCGTGTCATTCCATGCCAACTGGTGAGGTCGGAAATCTTTAGGTCTTAAATCGGTGTGAAATTTTTTCTGATGATACCCCTAGACTATATGAGTATCGTACCAATTTTTTTTCGATTGTTTAAACCGTTAATTTGTTATAAATTTTTGAAATTTTCAGGAATTTAAAGAATGTTATATTCTTTGCAGTTTTAGAAAAATTTTCGCGCATGAGAAAATATGCGACCTCAAAAGGGAATTTTTTTTACGAATTTTTGAAGATGGCAATTTCTAAAAAAATTATATTTTTGCATTTATCATGCAGCACAGTGGAAAGTATAAAAAAAAACTTTATTATTACAATTATAATCATAATATTATAATGGCATTGGTCTTTTCATCTTGAAGCAACTGAGCGACGGTGGTGGAAGAGCAGTTAGAGCGCAAGATTGTCACGCGGTGGACGTGGGTTCAATCCCATCAACGGGCGGTAAAAGAAGTGAGAAGTGAGAACACAACGTGTATTGAGCTGCTGTGAAATCTGTAATCAAGAATTGATTGAGAAGTGATTTTGATTACTGTAGGGCGCTTATGCTGTAGGGCGATTATGTACTCCACATTTGTGGGAGAAATTAAAAATAGCTCTTTGGTAAGTTGATCATTTCGTATTTTTGTCTATGCAGAAAATGATTTCTCGATATTTTGTTACACAGTGATGTCCTTCTCTGAATAGATAAAAATATGAAATGATCATCTTACCAAAGAATTAATTTAAATTTCTCCCATAAATATAGAGCACTTGCGTAATCACTCTGCAGTAATCAAAATCACTTCTCAATCAATTCTGAATTACAGATTTCACAGCAGCTCAATACACGTTGTTCTTACCGATGGTCAGGGAGTGACTGTCGGAAGTCTGTTGACTGTCCCACCCTACTCACAGGGGTGAGCACTTTTGTTGCGAAAAAGCATACTGAATAATTGACCTTGATACATCGAGAGACTGAACAGTATGCACTGAATTATTTTTATTTTTCGATGAACAATCGCAATAGAATGAGGACAGTTTATAAGCCAACGTCTTATTTATGAGGGAGATACAAAGCCCAAACGCAGGAATAAATCCACCACCTACAGATTTAATCCATTGATTTCGTCCGAAGATTCTCGAAAGATCTTCCAAAGATAGACATTTCTCTGCCCGCATGCATGCCCATTTCCTTGATAGTTATAATCACTTAAATACTGTTTTGTTTGTGGCCTGGAAAAGAAATATTTGAATGATCTTCATGATGTCTATGAGATACTGAGTATTGATTCAGATACATGGTGTGAGTATTATAACCCATCAGAATTTCAGGGACAAAAACAACAATTGGAAAAATTTCACAGTGTGCCACTGATGGAATTTTTCGAGCATCTATTAGTTCCATTAGTTCCACAAATCCCCGAATATTCTTGTAATACCTTTCATTTTGTTTTCAGTTTTGGAGATTCAAAATATCATGGCACTCAATCATATGCCTATTTCAATAGGTCGCATATGACTCGTGGTACGTCTTATGGCCCGTATGCGACTTGTTGAAGTCGAACGTCCGATTTCAATTCGAGAATAGGCTCCCCGGTGCAACTGAGTCCCTATCAGCATTGGGCATCTGTCGATGACCGCAGTTTTTTTACATAACATCGTAAAAAACGTGTAATTTACGTAATAAATGTAATAAATGTAAAAAACCAGCCGACGTTACTTATTATCGTAAACCGTGAACCTTCGCGAAGATTATACCTCACAAGGGTGATAAATCACGAGGGTCATGCCGTGTAAGGGATGAATTTTACAAGGGTCAATCTCATTATTTATCGATCTCTATTGAATTCGTGGCGTCATCATTGTGTCTTGACATTAACTTGTCTCATTCAACATTCTTAAATGAAAAAACTAATTCAATTGTCTTTGGTAGCTTTTTTGAACTCTTCAGAACAAAATGATTCTTTTCAGGTCCAACTGGGCTTTTCCCGGACTACAGATAATAAAGCGGAAAATCCAATAAAGTTCAATTGATAATGAGATTGACTTTCTCACAACGGAGAAAACTTGTGACATTGGTCTTTTACAACGTTTGACCCTCGTGAAATTTACTCTTTACGAGGTAGAGTAAACTGTCCAGTAGATGGACACCTAAGAAAACCGCCCAGTAGATGGACGTTTGTTTTTTAGCAATTGAAACAAAAAATTGATCGAAAAAAATCGTCACTCAGGGGTTAAGAATCACAACAGTTAGTGAAAATTCAAAGCAACAATTCACATTTCAGTATTTTTTTGCGTAATTTCCTATCCAAAAGTAGCTCGTCCACCTATAGGGCAGTGTCCATCTACTGGGTAGCTTACCCTATTAGGTCATGTTTTTGTGTTTCTTAAAATGCCGCGAATCGTGGATTTTAATCATACGAGTCCGGAAATGGTTTTATCGCCGTGTGGCTTACAATATTTTGTCTCTGGGCCCGAAAACCGCGATTCAATCGAGGAAATCGATGTTAGAATCGCGGTTTTACAGTCCTAGGGACATAAAATGATATTTTATGCCTCAAGTACCGAGAACCGTGTTCTAACCGAACAAAGTGAAATTAAAATTCGCAGTTTATCTGTCCTCGGGCCACAATATACTATTTTTTATGTGTCTAATACTGCGTCTTTGTCACGCGGAATAAAATAAAACATTTTAGTAATCGAAAATTGCAAGCTTTTCGAAGAAATATAAAAAATGTAAAAAACCCGTCGAGGTAATTTACGTAAATTACGTCGGTAAAAAACGGTGCAATTTACCAACGCAATTTACATGCCCAACCCTGGTCCCTGTCAGCCGCTCGAGCGACAGTGTTGCTACATTCACTGCCACACTCGAAATGCGTACACAGAGGTAAGCGCCAATGTGGCAACAGCGCGCTCGATTTAACCCAGCGGCACTGCGCTAACTATGCGACAGATGAAGGCTGGCGACCGAGCGCGAGGGTGATCGAGGGTTAATAACGGAAAGGAGGGTTATCAAGAAAGGTTCCAATGGAACATGTTGAGGAGATTGAGTGCCAGACAATATCGTTTACGTTAGAAAGAAGATGTATACACGGAGAGAAGAGCCATGGTAAAGAGTCCCATGTCAAATTTACGACTTGTATGTATTCCTAAAATTTAGGAAGCATTACTATGCTATGGTAATGATTCCTATGGGGTATGGTATTACACACTATGGGCGATGGTACGTCTCTCGATGGGAATGAAGCCTATGAACATAGGAGAAATTACTATATTGAATAGTACCCTCTACCATGTTACAGGGTAGAGTGTACTATTAATTATGGTAAAGGAACCCATAGTCGTTTGGTAAAGTTTACCATAGTTTATAGGAGAGATTACCATGCACTATGGTAACATGACCTATATTATATGGTAAAACGTGAAAAAGTCATAAAATGTCACGAATATAAAAGATAATGATCACTAAACTATATCATGATAATGATGAGTATAATGAGATAGAAATTTCAAGTGGGATATATATTTATAAATTTTTTTCTTCTCGTATACCCTTTCGGGTCTTTACGATTTGTTCCCTTCCCACCGCCCAACCCCCTGGAGTATTCTTGTAATTGTTGAGTAACAAGAATAACTTGATTATTTGGCTCTAGGATTACGATATTGATCAAATGTAATTGAGGATCAGCCTCGGTCGGCATCATCAATATTACGTTTTCCCTGATATTATGTCCCAAATAATTGAGAGAGCTTACTATTGTAATATCTCCAGATCGATTGGACGGGAGAACTGGCAGAAAATGACGATAATTTGGATCTAATTCTAATCTCTTGTTAAGAGCTGGACCAGGGAGAAAAGGTGGTGGTAAAGACTTGTTGATGAGTAACCGATAATTCAATTTTAATTGTGCCTTGATGGCTATTTTTAGTATTTTCTACGATATCGAGAAAAGGAGAGATTACCATGTATAAATAGTACTGATTACCATCCACATGGTAATCTCTCCTATAATAATGGTTGTCGTTGCTATATTGTATAGTAATGCCTACCATGTTCGAATGGTATTGATTACTATACAACATAGTACGCTTTACTGTTGAACATAGTAAAAATTACTATTGAGATTGACTTAGAAACCCTTTTACCATAATTTATGGTAACCTCTACCATATAAAAGTAACCCCTACCATTCACTTTTCTCCGTGTATATCATAAATCAAATTCTGCTGATCAATGGTGAATTCAAGTGTATTGGGCTTCCATGTCGGTACTTGCATGAACTCGATGATTATGCGGTTTCATCGAAATTACGTGTTTTTATGTTGGAGGTGCCGGTACGTCAAATATAGTTAATTTCTCTGAGATTTCTGATAAGTTTATCATTCCTTTATCATTCCATGACGGTTTTACAGTATTTTCACTTCTGCATTCATAATAAATTCCCATTTTCCCATATTTAACATAGATTCGTGGTTTTCATGTACGCAACTGTAAAACATAGGGGAGGGTGGGGTAAAATGGACACTTGACTTTTTTAAAAATTTTCATAACGTGTTGAATTGTTTATGAAATGCAATAATTTTGTTTTTCAATTGAAAGGACAATGATTCCCCTTTGTGATTAGCTTAAACTGAGCTCAACTGATGAATCTGTTTCTGAGTTATGAATATTTTAAAAAAAATCAAGTGTCCATTTTACCCCACCCTCACCTATATCGGCATATTTCCACTCAGAAGATACAAAAATATTTTCAAATGGCGTAAATTCAATTACTCTTTGCGTTTCTTGAGTCACATATCTCCCCGAGTGGAAATTCCGGTCAGGTCTTGATCAAGTTTGGATCAGGTTAGACCTGACCACTGATCAGATATTGATCAAATTGACGGATCTGGTCTTGATCAGACATGTTACGCCTCTGACCAATCCGGATTTGATCAGGACGAATGGATCCGAACTTGATCAAGTCAACTGTATGAAAACCGGATGACCTGTCTATCTGTGTCAATAACAATTATCAATGATAATTAATCCAAAACAAAAGATAATTCAATTTTTTCACCGTAGGCCGCCTCTCTTAATGAATCTCTACTGTTATTACCTCTGAAAAAGCTTATCATTTTCTTACCGATG